GATAGTACGAGCTAAGCCTGGTAACATCCCCCGGTCGGCGAACACACCTACACGAAAGATAAATCGCTCTCCCAAAACCCCCCATTTATTTCCCGACCGTAACAGAAATGCCTAAACTTTTCAGTATTGTACTGCCCAGATACAGAGAATATACAGAGAATATTTTGATTCATGGTGTGAATTATCTTACAAATTAATGTGTCAACAAAGTGAACATTTGATCATGTGAGCTAAATATAAAAGAGGCTGGGGTGGCTGGGAATTTAGCTGATGACATTTTGGTGAGGCTTTGATGTGTGGCACAGCTAAGGCTCATGTTTGAATACACCATAGCAAAAATAAGCATGACTAACATTTGAGTTGCACATTACATTTGCTCAAATTAAAATGAGGCTGAACATACTTTTTTCAATGCAAGTGAGACATTTGCACTATCCAAAAAGCTTTCATTTCAATAACATGGTCCATTATATCATCATGCAGACACAAATGCTAATTTCATTTCCATTGATAGATATTTCTCTACAAAGTTGCAAAGTTTTCATGCTTTTGATATTTCTTGCTTGGGTGCTCATGACCAAGAGCTAATAATAAGTATAAGAGCAGCTTGCATGCAATTTTGACTATTGCATGCTTCCTTTCATATCACTAACAAACTACTGCACATAACATGGTGGTTGACAAACTCAATGGTATTGAAGAGAGCCTGCATGAAATCCACAATAATTGCAACTGGGTTAGACCACACAACAACCATCAAAAGTCTAGCTCTCTCAACTGGCTCTCTTGGAACAAGTTACTCACATCTTTGATGCAAAGAGAAAACTTGATGACATTAGCATGTACTGTAAGATTAAAAATGATATTAATGACCTTGGGAAGGGTATCATGGGAACTTCTACAGTGGAAAACTTTTACAAATCCCAAGCCCAATACCTTAAAGTTGATAAAAAAATGAAAGGGGAAATTATAGATTACGAAAATTAATAGCTTAGTAAGCTCAAAGAATAGGGATAGTCAATTATCATCTTTTCAATGGACCGACTGCTTCCCTCTTGTTACGTTCGGTCATCCTGGGAGAGCGTTTGTGTTCAAATCGACCGGGGATGTTCTCAAAATTCAGCTCTAAACGTGGTCTTGCTTACACGCTCGCGTCAATTAAGGCGTAGCTAAATTTCCTATTGCTAAAGTATAAACTCTCACTCAAATGTTGTGCTATACTATCCAACTAATAATAAAATAAATAAAATATATATTGGATCGATAATCGAATAACAACAACTAATAATAATCTTTAGTCGAAGAATGTATTAATTATAAAAGAGCGATAAATTTCGACGCGTCTAATTAAGGAATTTCTTATACTCACTCCTAGTGAATGAGTCCAATCAAAGATCATAGACAATAAATTTAATTGATTTCACTGCCGATCATAGTATTTTATTTAATATGAATATACTGAGGCTGACATCTCCAATGGCAAAAAGCTCATTGCGTATCATCATATTGGAGATTTCTGGGAAGGCAGACTGCCTAGTGAATGCATCACATCATCATTGCACATCTGCCTGGTAGGTAGTATGACATTGTTGTTGACGTCTCTATGTGCTATTACTATTTCATGATTTCTACACTTGTCTTTAGATAGAGGCTCTTAGCAGGTGTTGGAGAGTTGATAAGCTTCAAGATGTCACTGAAGAAAATGCAGGAAAGTTTTGGGCAATTTTGAAGAATGTGGAACCTAAAGACAACATCCTTTAATATTAATATTAACTGCCTCAGAATACTTATTTTCTAGGCAGCAAAGATTTAAGTTCTACTATGTTTGTCTGCAACTGCTATATAATATGGGGCATGCTGCAACAAAATCAGACAAAGTGAACATTCTAATAACTTATACACAAAATTTATGTAAATTACAGTTTTAAATTAATATCATGCCAAAATGTAACTAGCATTCAACTTATGAGGCAAACTTTTATTTGCCTAAAATTATAACATTTTATATTCAATATAGGATTATCTCTATATAAAAATAAAATATATGAAACTAATTTACATCAAATCGACCATGGAACCCAAAAAATTACATCACACTTGAATTTAGTATGTCCAGGTACCATAAAATTTAATTCGATAGTTTCATAATAACCACAAATTACTAAATATAAGTAAAATCAAATGATGGCGTTATTTTTATTTTGTCCTCCCGCATTATCTTTAAATGTTTTTCACCTTTATTCAATCGTTTAATCCCATCGAATACCAAGCTTAGCGTGCCATTAGGGCCTTTGCCGATGATTCGTCTTCATCGAGAACGTAATTAATTTGTTCGCATACTGCTTCATCTTGAATGCCTAATAAATGCACTTTACGTGGACTGAGATAATAGATCTTACTTACCTGTTGATCGGAATGGGGTACGTGAACGTTTTGCGCTAAATCGTATATTATAATGAGCGTAGCATCAACGCTACAATAATTAGCTTTACCTCTTACTATAAAATGCTCATCTACTAATTTCCTCTGTTGTTCTGCTAATTTCATATATTTTTTTTGTAATAGTTTCTCTCCAAATTAGCCTTAACTAAGTGTTCTTTGTACTTTTTCGCTTCTTCTTCCTTACGAGCATTATTGTAAGCCGTTCCGAAAATGCTGGCAAGCATCACATAAATCCGTTCTCGGACTCATAATTGAATATAAGGCGTTAATTGGTGTCATAACTTGCGGAATGCATCATATTTTAACAAATTCAACGTGCTATCACTATCGTTTTCGAGACCTACAATAAAATCACGATAGACCAATTTATATCTCGTTTCTGCTGGCAAAAGTGTAAGCGATTGAGTAATACGATTGACATTTCTACCGAGACTGGTGGTAGTCCATGAATTTCAGCATAATTTTCTTCACGGCGGTAGCAACGGTTATGTCAATAGTTGTTTTGGTTTTCCATCGCGGCACTATAAGTGCGAGATACGTTTTCTGACAAAGAGATGTGTTGCGATCTCAGTAATAAAAAGTTTGCTTATTAGTACGCGTCTTCTTTTTAAGACGTCGACTGGCAGTTATTTCTCCACCATTCATGCTTTCAGTTGGGCCATTAAAAATACGTCTCGTTCGGATTTGGAGAGAGCTTGAAACGCTTCACGTAATTCGGCAAACTTTTCTCTCGGAATCATTTTTGAGCAATCACAGTTGCAACCTACGTTTAAGAAATGTATTGCTTTTTCGTATTCGGTAGAATCATCATTATTATATTCACTACTTTTCATATATGGGTAATCCTATATATATATATATATATATATTTTGTTTCCTCAAACTCTTAGCTTTCCTTTTCAAATTTCTCTGTCGTAATGCACAACTGCTATTATTATTGATTACGCGCTTGTAGTCTGGAAACATGTGCGCACAGTTACACATTAACATGAAGAGACATCACAATAATAGCGAAAGACAATTGCAACAGTTCGGACGCAGGCCATTAAACGACTTCCTCCCAACGCTTATTCACTAATTTTGCGCTTCTTATCCGCCGCACTCATACTCACCCATTTTTCTGCATCTTTCAATAGCCAAACAATTCGGCCCAAAATCTTACCGATACTTTTCTTCAATCTAGATGGCTCGTTGATTGACAAGTATCGTTCTTTATCGAAATTCCAGGTCCTTGGACAGATGGTCCAATAATTCCTGTTCTTTCTAATCACGGAGGTCGTCAATGCCCACAATAGACAATGATCAATTTTTTTCTTATATATGAGATGATAAAAAATGCACACGTACCGCAGTCAAATTGGGGGCCTCAAATCAATCAGAGAATTATTTGGACAGAGTTCATTGTGATGTTGATAGATCAACGTCATGTTTTCGGAACATTGAAGTTCGGCACCAAACAAGGCTTGGTATGCCCAAAAACTTCACAGACTTTGTCAAGCCTCCTCTCCGAAAATGGTTTTTGTACAGTTTCTAGTCGGAAGTTTAGCACAAAGTTCGATCTTGACACACACGTCTTCAGAAACTGCCGGCAGTCCTTGTTGTCCTCCCCAAAGCCATTGATATACTATGGTCGCTCTAGTGAAATCTATGCTACAGTAGTGGCGGAAATAATGTATCTAATACTTACGCGCTCCCTGTTTTATTTATTATGGTAAAGTCATATATAGAAAGTTACACCAGATAACAAATGTATAAATAAAATAATATTTGAACCTACAACGCGTTCTTTGTTTACTTTCATAATTTTTTTTGTTAAAAATGCCTAAGCAACTTACTTTGACCCAAAAACGATCAATTGTAGAGAATTTGTGGGACAGTGGAATTCATGATGTATCTCAGCTTCAAAAAACTTTCAGTAGCAGCTTCCCTGAAACCTAAATCCCGCCCAGAAAGACAAAAAAATTAGCAAGTTCAAGACAATGTGCTAGCAGTAAAGAAATTACTCATGTGCTTAACCAAACCTACCCAAACCTTAATATTGCACCAAGTTAACTATTGTGAGGAACTTTTATTCACAACGAGGCACTGCCAAGTTAACAAAGGAACTTTCTAAAAAAAAAATGCCCAAAAGTTTTTGATTGGCCTTCTTACTCACCTGACTTAAACCCTATAGAAAACTTGTGGGGATAATGAAGAAAAGGGTAGAGAAGAGGGTAAATCAACGTGTTTTACCAAAAAAATCAATTGGATTAGATGGTTTTGCACATGCAGGAAAAACAGTCATATATTACAAATTTTGCAAGTTTGCACCAGGAACTTCCAAGATGGTTATAAACAATATTCATGGATTAAATTCTTATCTGAACAATGTTTTGTATGTTGTGGATGGCCAACTACAACAACCAAGTGCTGTTAATATTAATGCAAAGACTAAGACAATAGTAACACATTCACCCCTTCATACTAATTAGTAGTAACTTTTTGCATTTAATGAGTCTCTAGAAGTTACATATTGTTGTATGAGTGGTGTTGTAGTTGTTGCCAGCCTTTTTAGCTCATATAATCAAATGTTTGGTTTTGTTGCAGTCTGCCCCACACCATAATCAAGTACAAGTGCAATACAAGTTTTATTTATTGATTTTACATTCTATCTAAAGGTTAAGCAAACATTGATATTTCTCATGAACTCAATCACCTCAATTATTTAGTTTTCTCCTTCCTTGGACTGATGTCCTCTCCGGGAAACCATGGAATAAATCGACTAGTAATTTTTCTGTATTTGCAATATGATGGATACCTACACATGCTGATCTGCTCATAATCAAGAAATTATATTAGCCATAGTGAATATGCTCAACATTTGTTAAAATAATCCCATCTGTGAATTACTCACTTTTTCTGTCAGAAATGTGCTTCCTTGGAACAGAAGTGTCAAATTGACTGCACCAACCATGGTCCAATTGAACCATAATGCATGTATCCAAGTGTTAGGCTGTAATGTTGCAGCAACAGCAAAGAGGTAATAACTCCACCAAAGACCTATTTCACAGAAATAATGAGGATGTCTGGCAAGACAATATAAGTCAAGATATATTATCTCACTATTCAGAATTAATCACAAATCAGCATCATCCAGGCAGCTCCTTTCCTCACGGTTAAAGCATCTGTTACCTTGAATATCGAAAAAGACCATGAGTTAAATAACCCAACCCAAAGTCACCATCATACAACTTGAGCCCATCAGTATTCTTGGCTGCTTCTTTGATTATTCTGTGCTTTTCGTTTTGAAACTTCCATTGTTGTTGATCAGCTATAGTTTCTCCTACAAAACATAAGCTAAACAAGACACCCGCAACTACATCAATCCAGTTCAACGGGCCATCATCTCCAATAGAACAGACTAAATATACTGGTAGAGTTAAACTCATTAATAAAAAATTCTGATAGAATGAGATAAACACAACATTAATGAGTTCGAAGAAGGGTCTAGGGATGCTTTTCTTCACATACGACCATCGATAGTCTGCGTATATTAGACAATGTTAATAAATCTTCGTAAAAAATGGATGAGGCGAGTTAACCCTATCAATATACCTTCGTTTGACAATTTATATCCTCCTTTTCGAGCAAAGTTATAAGTAAGCCTTACACCCCATAGGGTACTCAACAGGCTCATAATGGCTCCACGTACACTCAACTCATTACTCTCCGTGATAAACGAGTGGAGTGCAAAATGCCAAGAAAAGAAGACCGGAGTAATACTCCAAAGTCTATCAACCTATACAACGCCCGTGTATTATTATACATTCCAATAATATGTGCTCAACGCAAGAACAGTTCCTTACTTACGTGAGAATGGTTATTAGTGAAAACACCCAGTCCCCAACAGATGATTGCTATTCCAAAGGTTATAACAGTAGCTGAGACCAAGGAATCCAAGGTGTAGTATTGGGTACGAAGTAGGTTCAGAAGGCGTCCTCGATCTGACGTGTTCTCTAATAACAATTCTTGCCAATTCGTGGCGATTATACTTTTATATAGAGAATCGAATGATGCAATGGCAGACATTTTTGGTTGCTTTTACATAAGAAAACGAAAGATAATTAAGGGTCTTTACATTTATCACGCGACCCATCAATTTAGTTATCAACTGACGCGTCGAATATGATTGGCGAAATTTGATGACAAAACACGCGGGAGACACAGTTTTTTACCTATACAAAGTCAATATTATAACGATAATCTCTTGCATAGTAATGCACACAGTAAGAAGGTTATCCCAAAGATTTTACAATGTATCGACTTACTCCTAGAAATTATTACATATTAGTATTAGTATTAGTTACTTAATTATAGTTGTAAGCAATTTATAATATTTCATTCTCTAAAATCATTGACTATAATAACACCAATGACTACGTTAATATTTTCTATTTAGACAATCTCGATTTTGTTTAATATCGGAGAAGGCAAGCTCTAAATGAGGATTGGTCGGTTTCTGCTGATGCGGCAGAAAGATCGCATTCTTTACTTGGAATTGTGCAAAGATTAGGTTCCTTAATTTCGACGTGAATGTGAATAAACAACACACGTTCCGTGCTTTCAAGTTTTGCAAACCATCTCCTGGTGATGTCTTTAGATAATAATAATGAGCTCTCTATGATCACGCTTGGAACCGCATATTCATGGGCTTCGAGAATTCTCTAACCATCCATCATATTCAAAGTGCAAGCATAATGTGTAATATTATAATAGTCTGTTTAGTAATTATTTTAAGAATGGAAATTTCTGGACATTTTTGCGTGACCACAAGGACAAATCTACCCACCTACTGACCCTACCAAACTCACGATGGCGGATATCAAGAAACAGCGACTGGTATACGCAATTCTCCAGTTCCTCAAAAGTTCTATTCAGGATGGAACTATAAATGAAGAGGGCAGAGAGAGTATAGAAGTGGCCGGTATGTATCTTATTCAATATTCACTCGAAATATACGTTACTATTCGACTCGCTCGCTCGCTCACGTATTGCCCTGTCTTATAATAGTACAGTGCATCGGGGAAGCTTTTGGTGTGGACGCCGACAATCCGGAGCATCAAGCTAAATATGCAACTAAGCGCTCACTACTGTCATTGTTTAGTGTAGCTCTACAAGTTGAAGAGAAACTATCAGCTAAACAGGTAGGTTATTCACACAAAGAACTTGCTGCCTTCTGTCTACCGTCTGCTAAACAGTGCATTTGCCCTTAGGGTTCGAGCTCCCGACAAGCATTGTCGACAGATTCATCGACTTCCTCGTCGTCAACTGGTACGATCTATTATGACCTACTTCAATAAACGTATTGGATGATCGTAGTCTGAATACACAGGAGGAATTATCGATTGAGGGATTATTATAAATTAATTCTCTGTTCTTATGCGACTGTTCAGCTGAAGGTCAAGCAGAACGAAAAGACGTGGAGCTTGAGCCGGCTCCGTTCCAGTTAGAGGTATATGAATAGTCTTAGGATGTATAGACTGAAAAATCGATCTATTAATGTAATCACTAGTTCTTGATAAATTAAATGGAGTTATCACTTTGCATTACAGTCAGCTCTTACTGAAGAACAAAAGCAAAAAGCAGAAGAGTTAAAAACCGAGGGTAGGTGTATATGATATTATATAAGAAGCTTACATATTTTGTCTTGACGGGATTTTGCCTTTAATACTAATATTTTTCTTTCGCGTAGGCAACAAGAACGTTACCGAGAAGAATTTTTCCGCAGCGGTTCGATTATATACTGAGGCTATTAGTATAAATCCCACGAATGCAGTTTATTACGCAAACAGGTAGAATAGCATACCAAGATGCTGTCAGTTATATAACAGGTTGTATAAATATCTAATGATAGTGGCATATATTTCTTAGAGCTGCAGCGTATAGTCAGATGACCAACCACGATGAAGCCATTCAGGATGCTCTAAAATCGACTCAAATCGATCCTTCTTACAGCAAGGCATACAGTAGACTAGGGTGATGATCTACTCATGTGACTTTATTTGCAGTTAAATTAACGAACCGTTCACTCCTACTTACCATGTGCGATGCTTTTCATAGGCATGCATATTTCTCGAAGAACAAATACAAGGAAGCCATCGAAGCTTACGAAAAAGGATTGTCTCTTGATCCGAATAATGCAACAATGAAGAAAGCGCTCGCTAATGCTGAACAAAAGGCTAGTGAACTTGAAGGACAAGGTTCTCGAGGCGCGAATAGTGGATCACGAACACCTTCTGCTGGATTAGGCGGTCTTGGAGGGTTAGGGAATCTTGCCAATATCGCTGGTCTTGGGGGAGCCGGTGAGGGTGGAGGCGGTTTGGACTTTGCTAATTTAATGAACAACCCAGCCATTATGAACATGGCCTCGCAGATGATGCGATCAGGGGCATTTAATGATTTGCTAAACAATCCCAATTTGGCGTCAATGTTAGTATGCCTGCTACGTTCATTACGCTTTATTTATCATTGACCCGGCTTTGTTTTTTGTTGAAATATCTTCTGATCTTCTCACGGCTTCTGTGCTTAATGAAAACAATAGGGCACAGAACATGATGCAAGGTGGCTCGGCACCCAACGTCCAAGAGTTAATGAGTGATCCCGAAGTAAGGAATTTGTAAGTATTTGTGACATGTGCTTGTATAATAACATAGTGATCAAATGATCTATTATTTTTATTCACGTCATTCTTCGTTTATAGAGCAAGCCAATTCGCCAGTGCCAATAAAACCGATAGCGGAGATGCCGGAGGACAGCCGCCCTCTGGAGACTCGGATCAATAAACTAAAGTGAAAGGCACGTTTGTTTACAGCCAGCAATGTTGTATATATTTGCATCTTTATCTTTTGTCGCAAGTTAAAGTCACCTACTAGGATGAATATTTTGATACAAAATAATAGTAGTACTGATTAGAAGAGAGAAGAGAATAAATGATATTTATTGTTGAGCGTAGAAACATATAATGACGAGTGCGGCAATGATTGGAGCCATCATGTGATCGGGAATAGTGTAGATCGAGGATTCATTTTCTTCGCATCGCGTCGTTTCATTTCATCATCTCAGATCGGCACTTTATTCTCCATATTTGGATACCGCTTGTCTTTATGTATTATACGCCACTTGCCAATTTGCGAGCATTAAATGTATATTGATTGTATACAGTTCAGTTTTTTTTTAACTATCTATCTGGTGACCTTGCCCCTAACGCAAAAAAGCAAAAGTAGATACAAATTCGTCATTCATCTTCAAAGTCTACAGCGATGGCAAATTGCAACTTTCTCGGGGTAAGCCTATGTTTTAAAACGAACATTATAGCACTAGTGTCATATTGTGTCTTTGTGTAATGCTAACCGTCTACCTACTGCCCTCGACGAATCGTGTCCGACTAAAAAATATCTAGAACGCAATAGAAATAGTCAAGAAAGCAACAGAAGAAGATGCAAAACGCAATTTTGAGGAAGCATACAAACTTTATACACGTGCGTTAGAATATTTCATGACAGCAGTGAAATGTAGGTAACAAATGCATTGCGTAGGCATGAGTGGGAATGTATGTATTGCAAAAACGACAACTACCATAGTCAAGTGGTTACTCATGTTTTACTAGACAATATTCTAAAAGTCGTATTTCTCGAGTTCACAATGCTTGAGACTGATTAGTGTAATTCGGCCAACTCTCTTCCATTCTTTTTTCGTTTGAGATAGATGAGAAAAATGATATGAAGAAAGACGCAATACGTAAGAAATTGGCTGAATATCTTAAAAGAGCTGAACAATTAAAAGAATATTTGAGTGAGGCCGAGGACAAACGACAAACGAAAGCGATTAGCGCTAATGGTCCCGAGAAAGGAAGCAAGACCAAGTTAGTCTAATGTGTTGATTATGAATGGTTTATTGGAAATTCGGTTTAGTTAATTTTTTAACGGTTTATTTAAGGAGCAAGAAGACCGGATCCAGTGATGACGACGAGGAGGATCCCGAAGTAAAGAAGTTACGAGGGGCATTGGCGGGTAATGAACGTGCTTGATTACAAACCAATATATCATATTTGCGTGTGTGTTCTCAATTATTTCATGTTCAACTTTTAAGGTGCAATTCTGAGTGAAAAGCCAAATGTAAGGTGGGACGATGTGGCTGGATTGGCAAAGGCTAAAGAAGCTTTGCAGCAGGCAGTGATTTTACCTATTAAATTTCCTAATTTATTTACTGGTGCGTATGATAGCTTAAGGATTATAACGACAATTATATAACGATAACAATAACGATTTTGTTGTCGTTGCCATTATTGTTTTGAAATGTGAGTTTTATGTACTACTCTTGAACTGAGCTTTGTTATATATTCTGATCGTAAGGCAAAAGGAAACCATGGTCAGGGATCCTGCTGTACGGACCTCCCGGTACTGGCAAGACGCATCTTGCAAAAGCTGTTGCCACTGAAGCTAATGCTACCTTCTTTTCGGTATCATCGTCTGATTTGGTGTCTAAATGGATGGGCGAAAGTGAGCGGTAGATAACCGTCTAATAGTTTGCCAGAATACATTTGTGCATACACATATTAATGAGACTAATACCCGTTTAAAATTAAGATTGGTGAAGAACTTGTTTGCCATGGCACGCGAATCTAAACCAGCGATTATATTTATTGATGAGATTGATGCTTTATGTGGACAGCGTGGCGATGGGGAGAGTGAAGCAAGTCGAAGAATCAAAACCGAGTTTTTAGTTCAGATGAATGGCGCTACAAGTGATTCTTCCGGTATTCTCGTGTTGGGAGCGACGAATATTCCATGGCAATTAGATTCTGCTATAAGAAGACGGTTCGAGAAACGCATTTACATACCGCTCCCTGAAGAGACTGCAAGACTTTGCATGTTTCAATTGAATATGGGGGACACTCGAACTGATATAAGAATGGAAGATTATGTACACCTCGCTAAGAATTGCGAAGGGTGAGTATCATATTCAAAGAGTATTGAGATTGAAAGAATTGCTAGCGTAATAGGCATGGTTTCCCAGATATAGTTCCATTTTGCATCGGTCGTTATGATTCGTTGAACATACAAACATTTTTGCATTTATGATCCGTTGTCATCTATGGTCTCATTCTCGCATGTGATATATTGAGCTTATTCTCCTTAATCTTCCCTATAGATACTCTGGATCTGATATCGCAGTGCTTGTGCGGGATGCTCTGATGCGACCAATTAACAAAGTTCAGGAAGCAGAGCACTTCAAACGAGTATGTAAAATCAGGGCTCTGAATTAATAACTATATTGCATACTGATGGATCTGTTTGTTTCTAGGTCAGGGCTCCATCCAGAGAGGACAAGGATGTAATGAAAGAGTATTGGGAGCCGTGCTCAATTGGGGATCCCGAAGCACAGGTACATTATTAGGGTTTGATTTTCTACGCCGTGTTGACAGACGCTAATATTTGTTGTCTTGTAGAGAATGGATCTGGATAAAATTGACCCGGACGAGTTAATAGAGCCTCACGTCACCAGGGATGATTTCACGTTGGCTTTACATAATATTAGGCCAACAGTTAATAAGGATGATTTAGAAAAATATGATGAATGGACACAGAATTTTGGAATGGAAGGATGAAGATATTTAGTTGGTGTGAATATTAGTCGAGGTTATAGGTTTACAAGTTTATGAGTTTGCAAGAAAGAATAAATAAATAAACAATAAATAAACAATAAACAAATAAATAATTCAAACTATATAATCCATCAGGTCTTGTAAGTGTACATTGGCAGGAAGAAAATATTTGCGTTAAAAGCCGATTATTCCCATTTCTTATAAGTTGGCTGCGAGTAATACATGATTCTATTCCTCTAAGCATGCTGTCTATTAAGGATTAAACGAGTCTTTTGGAATTTGGCTTTGCGCTCTTTTTTTAACATCCTATACTTATGGGCGCTTTATATTATGCCGAATATAGTCCTATCCGGTAAACCAAATTTAAAAAAGTTTAGGACAAATTTGTAAGTCGGACAGGATTATAAAACTCGCAATCCCATCCTTTTGATCAAGTAATCCGCTTCATTTTCCGCATTGCCATAAATTTCAAGGGCCAAAATAACAGATCTTCTGTTAATTAAGGTATTTGTTATGAAAATCATCAACTTAAATTTTGTTGTTTGTTCTTTGTACTTAGAACTATGCTCTAATAGTATAGTTTACAGTATTCTCATAGCTGTGTATAGGTAACTTTCCCAATTTGGACATATTCTGTAAAGTAACCTTCTAGTCTTGTTTATTTTGCGCAATTATAAGTTTAACCGAGAGTTATAAGCAAGAATATCTGCAGCAGGAAACAAAACATGCTTCCACGGACAGAGATTCCACTTAAGACTATATACTAATTCCGAAACCTCAAAAAGCTGGAAATTTCAGAAACCTTGGTTTACGGTTGAAGGGAATAGTAATTTGCCTTTTACTTTTGAAATCAAATTTATATTCATTTTCCTTTCAGTTGTATTACAAGCCTTAATCTTTCCTTTACTGAAAAAGAAGTTAATAAATCTAAATCTTGTCGGGTTTTTATTTCTTCAATGCGAAGTAAATCAGCGGTTCAGTTTGTGGAATCTGCAAGTAATGTAATGATACATAGCGAAACCCGTTAAACCGAAGTGGGCCGGGAACATAGGTGGTAAATGCTAAGAAATTCGGTTTATCGGGGTAAATTTAATATTAATATAGAGATTTTAGAACTTACCTTCGGTTTAGCGGGGTTTTACTTAGTCCTTCGGTTTATCCATTATGTACGACATTCGCAAAAACAGGTGATCGTCAGAAAATCGTCTTCAAAGAAATTGGGCCATTTTTTCAATCCCCCAAATATAAACGACCAATAATCAACGAGTAGACTTTATCTAATTTCTGGCGGTCTGGGACAAGTTATATCGTTATAACTGCTGTTGCGAAAAACTTTACTATTACATTTGAGGTCAGGAAAAAGGCACAGGGTAGGTAGCATCCCCGAGTATATACCAAATTTGAACCCCAAATCACCAACTACCCATTTTCATAAATCAGTCGTCATTTATAAAGATAACCTATTCCCTTCCAATAAATGACAGATCAATCGTAGGTGTAAACAAATAAAGAACGCAAAACTCCAATAAATGACGGAGTGACACAAAATTTTAATAGTAAAACATATAAAAAGTTTTTCTTTTTAAAATCTCTCCTGCTCTTGTGTACTATGTAAAGTGCAATAATTTTTGTATGATTCAGAAGCTAATTGATTATGCTTTTCGAGAAAAATAATAAAAAAATTTTATAAATTATTGTTATAAGCTAATAGCTCGACGAAGTGTGAGTATACGTGCTATTACTATAAATATATTTTTATATCGTGATTCAAAGACTGCTTGCTTCAACTTGCTACAGCTTAATAGCGATAACTTATAAAATTTTATTATTATTTTTCTCGAAAAGCATAATCAATTAGCTTCAGAACTATACAAAAATTATTACACTTTACATAGTACACAAGGGCAAGAGAGATTTTTAAAAAGAAAAACTTTTTATATGTTTTACTATTTGTGTCACTCCGTCATTTATCGGAGGGGGCTGTACAATAGTCACTGTAATCGTCTAAAATAAACTAACTAACTCACATCAAGCTCAAAAGAAAGGTAAGGGTTATCTGCAATTGAGTTTACGTTGTGGCCTTTCGAGAAGAATTTAAAACATTATTTTCTTTTTATTTCAAAAACTAGCGCAAGAAAAGTTAAAAATCCTGTAAATGTACTATTACCACCCATTGAAGCATAATTCAAACCTTAGTCAAGTCGATAAAGGCAATTATTTCCAATAGTCTTATTATGTATTAGCGATTATCAGTTGTAAAACGTCAACATAATTGTCTGATAAAGAATATTTGTATTGTTGGTTCTTTTCTGCTCTCGTTTTGTCTTCTGCGAGATTAGTATTTATTCCATTCATCTCACAGTTTTGTCAAGCGTATATAATAGTATTAGTATATACCATTAATATTACTTGCGATGGTTAGTAGTAGACCCCCTGAAATCTTTTAAAGGTGAAACCTAAACCGTAGTAAACCCTAAATCTAAAAAAGATCAAACCATACTAATACTAATTAATACTAATACTAATCGTAATACTAATGCTATACAGAATACCACCCTACTTATTATTATACGCAATTGTGCGGATAACTCTGGTACGTTCGCTTAATTCTGAGAACGAATTAAATGCGGGAACTTGTATTATTTATTATTAATAGTAATTGATATTAATTATGGTTGCGGGTAACAGCATACTGGGTAATCATAATCAGTATTTAAAAATAGTACAAACGCATTTCATTGGACGATACTGCTTACTATCAATTTTTCTTCGTAAAACCACCCCTTGTACTACTACTACAGGGCAAATATCATAAAGAATGACACCTCTTATACAAGTTTCGCACGACACACTAAGTAGTTGACACTCCTATGTCGCCATCAATACGACGAGCAACTTGGATACTACTCTTTCTGACGGCACTCGCTCTATACTTAGTATCTGTATCGTATTTAAGCCAGTCCATAATTCAGCAGCCTGAAGCAAGTAGCGAACTCACTGATGACGAAGACTTTTTTGATGATTACGACGAGAATGAGGACGAAGAGCGTTATCTCACTTATCTACCTCACAGCGGTTTCCATAACCAACGCATAGCACTTGAGAATGCGTTGTTCCTCGCCTGGGCGACAAACAGAACTCTCATAATGCCGCCTATTGTGCTTGGTAGCAGAATACCGTATCAGCCCTTTCCCCGTCTATTCTCACTTTTGTCTTCACTCAATCCAGAGAAAAAGCAAGCATTACCAGACTGCTCTAATTTAGTAGGCGCACACCTTGCATCCTGTTTGAAGACCTACAGGAAATTATTCTTTACTTTCTTGCAATGGGACGAATTAATGGACTTGAGTGCAGCAAGGGGTAAAGTACGTATCATCAACAGATACGACTTTAATATAACACATCTTTATGAAAAGCTGGATTTCACCGAGGAAGATGTCTACGTGCTGGAAGACCAAGTTCTTTACAGTTTTCAGATTTGCGACAATCCTAATCCCAGTGTGCGTTCAGACAAATTCAAAGATCGAGTCTCATTAACTAGTATAAAGAAGCGTCCGCAGAAGCTTTTGCACTTTTCTAGCCTATTCAGTTCATCTCGAATTCTAGCAGAACTGCCCGAGAACCGCGAAATCCTTGACTTGATACGACGAAACATGGTTATATCGCATCCAGTGTTGACCAAGGTGGTGGATAAGATAGTAGTAGAGTTGGGGGGTCAGGGCAGCTATGTCGGTGTTCACATTAGAGTCGGTGACGGATTTTTTAAGAAACAGTTGGCCAGTACCGTTGCGGCCATGACTGACAAACTGCTGCGTGAGTATGGGCCGGCGTCGTCATCGGCCGAGGGAGATGACTCTGTTCAGACGATATCTGAAAAGCAAGAATTTAAGGAAAACAGCAATTTGTCATCGTGTTTTTCACAAAATAGCAACTATCCGGTGCTTTACTTGGCCACTGATTCTGCTCAAGCCGAAGAAGACCTTGCAGGAATACTTTCAGCGTTTCCGTGCGTCTTCATGTTATCGGACTTTAACTCATATCTTGATGAGGTCAAGCAAGTGGTTAATCCAATCGACCATGTTAATTTGCAAGAATTTTTTGTTCCATTAATAGATCTAATGGTGGTTGCTAAAGGAGGGAGGTTTATAGGAACTCATAGAAGCACGTTCTCTAATTATGCTAAACGTTTACATGAAGTGTGGGTGGGCGATGATGCGGATGGTTTTAGTTAATATTTCAACTCAAAACTATTTTATCACGGACTATTTACTAATGTACAGTTGTACCAGAATGGGGGGGGGAATAAACACTTTTGTGTTTAATACATTTAGTATCTGGCGATAATAGCGGCAATGTTTTGCATTAATTTATTTAACTATCGCAAACTGCCGTGAATAAGGGCCTACCTTCATCACATAAGGAGATTCTTATTCATGAGACAATACGAAATTGTCTAGGAACAAGTGTCCACGATACCTTTGTTGGTCACATAATCGTATTTCGGCGCTTGTTCATGAAGAAAAAAATTAATTTTTTTTCATGTGAGAGACCCTTATTCACGAGAGTTTACAATATTTATTCTCTTCATAACACTCGCTCAATTTTGCCGCATTAATTCTGATGAGCTATACACCATGATTGACTAATACATGAGGTGCTGAAAAGTTTTGCACGTACACCTTTATTTAATAATAATTATCGATACAGCTATTTTATTCATTCAACGTACTCTCTTCATTAAACTCTGCACGGCGTTCTAGCCGATTCCCGACCTTATCTCCTTTAGTTCTTTTTTGATTCGAGAGAATGAGGAAAATCACAAGGGACAAGGCCTGGATTGTATGGCGGGTGGGGAAGAAGTTTCACCCCGTTCGCTATGAAGATACTCTGTTACCTATCAATCCTTGCTCAACTCGAGTCCTGTGCAGAATATTCAAGTCGTGGTTCTTGTAGAGAGGTACAGCTCTCGGCCATGCAAGATGCAAGCATTGTGGTGAAGCATGACGTTACGAACAATTGTTTTCCGGATCGTGCGAAATGTACGTATTTCTTTCACGAGAAATGCTCACTTTGTTGGCTAATTCTTTAGCAGAAATGTGCGAGTCATTGCTAATATAATCCTCGATCTCGGCAATTTTTCGAGCGCCACTGCTTCGCAGAACGACTCTTGTCTTTGATTTTCTCTGAATGTAGCAATCCAGCATCTAATTGTGCTGATAAACAATGCTTGTTTCCTTCCACATTTGAGTCGCATTTCTGCCATTTTTCCAAGAAGCGAAAATAAAGTACGTTTGGTTCATTTTTCTCCAGTCGGTTTACAAAAAAAATGGGTTCTCGACAATGAGATAATGAATTCTTTTACTTGTTACATGAAAGTATGTGCATTTGATATTATTCCCATTTTTAATTAGACTCAAGTTAGAAGGCCACACGCAAAACTTTTCGGCACCCCCCACGTAATCCTTTATTTCGTCTTTGGAGCATATACTTTGCGCGTAGTAAAAATAATAATCTTATTTACGCGTTGATCATGAACGAAGAAATTAACCATAAACATTTGATTTATTGTATTGTCAATTGTGTTAATAATGACTGGTTTAAAAAGTCTTTGAGTGATACCCCTCCGCTAGTTTCGATAAGTCAAGACGTTGCCAAAAAGAAACCAGATGCATACATAATATCGAAGACATTGTTGGTATAACTCGCATTTTTAGAAAATGGTTTAGGCAGACAAGAAATGAATAATTTACTTGATCAATGGTAAATTTTATATTACAACAAAATCCCCCCTGCCAAATGATTCATGTCAGACGATGTCAATTTATTCTTAAAACAACCCAAGTACAGTGGTCATCATAAATATCCGGAATTTTGATCTGGTACAGAAAAAGTCACGTAGCATAACCAATTTTGAACCAATACAAAATTGGTATTAAAGTATTATGCATCATAACCAAACGCGTTACCGCTAACTTGTTTGCAGTCTGTTTTCGCGTCTGTTAGTGAAAAAACGTCAACCGGTTCAAAGTTTGAAGCACAAAGAACAGTTGTAAGCCAGCTTTGGGCAAATAACATTCAGAAACCTGCTGAAATCATACGTTTAACAGGTTTTCCGAAATTCACACACAGTGTATGGTTTAGTCAATTGACTTAAAGAAAGGTCTATTGTTACGCCACTTCCCATACCTGGAAGACCTCCAACTCACAACGCCGTCACCTTGGTCTAATAGTGCAGAACAACAATACCGCTACCGCACTTGTTTTGTTCACTGAAAACTCAATGCTAAAAGATATCAACAAATTCTTGAAACACCTTTTTTCTTACATTTCCAGAGCAAATCGTCAGTTTCGTTTTCAACAGGATGACTTCCCTATCCACAAGGCAAGGGCAATAACTGACCTGTTTGAGCGCCATAGTATTTGATTAGCTCGCTTACTCGCAGGATATAAACCCAATTGAGAATTTGTGGGCAATACTTAAGGGAAAAGTTGAGAAAGAAGTAAATTTGCGGTTAATGAAAAAAAAAAAGCTTTCAACAATTGACTTTCAAACAATAATTCGTCAGGAATGGGAGGGTCTGGATGATAATCTCTTCCTTAGGTTAGCGAATAGTATGAAAAATCGTGTTTCAGAGGTAATCGAGTGGGAGGGGAAAAAGATGTATTTTGTACATAGTAGTAACTGTATTTGGTAACATATGTACGAAATTTAAGCATACAAAAATAATGAAAATAAAATTTTTTGTTTGTGAGATTAAATTACGGATATTTATGACGACCACTGTATTTTATGACTTTCAAGTCAAACCTTTGCTTCGCCGCAAACGAAAATAAAAAAGTATTTATTTCTTTAAGCGTGGCAAAACCTCTTTATTATTAAATTGAATCTTTGGAATTCAACGAAGAAGCTGACCTATTCAACAAGACAGAAAATCTAAAGCATACTGCTCTATGGACTAGCAATATGTTTAGACAACATTAACTTCAGCAGTAAACTTATTAGCGGCGGGATACAACTAACAAACTCTACGTCACTACAAATATGCACGCGCCTTATTGTAACAATTTACAATTCGACAGGTCGAGTTTTCTAACAACAATACTTCGTTGAGTTTGACCGCAAAATCTGAGCGAAAGATTACCACTTTTTAATATAAAGCCTTTGCCCTTTATCCAATGGATATGCTATCTATTTGATTATGCTATTACGTGAAAAGCCGGTGAGCTTTCTGCCTAAATATTTATCAAATCGTTGAATTCTCTGTATGACTTGACGTTATTACGTGTGACTCGTCAGGTGCCAAACGTCAGTTGGTTACGCATTTGTATTCAGTTTTGGCTACCTTGTATCACCTCTGCGGAGGCAATTCAAAAATTAATGAAAATTAGCTCGACCAAAAAGCTTTTCCGACAAATATACCTACTGGGAAGAAATAATGCCAAATCTTCTAATTAGCGAAATACTGTTCTTTTCCGAACCTTCTTTTTGAAGCGTCCATCTCGATAATGAAGTCAGAATATAAAAAGTTAAACTATGAATGGTTTTCCATTGTTATCAGTAATCTCGTGTTTATCATTGTTAAGCATTTGTTCTATATAAAAGGCAATTTTCTGTAACGCATTTAGGAGTTCTTTTAACAAAAAGATGTTGTACAAAATAGACTTTTTGGGGGTGTGAGAATAACTTGTACCTAGAGCTACAATGTTAAACATTAACATTAACCAACAAAGAAACGTTGATATCCCAGATACTTGATTCCAATAGGAAATTGGACGGTGTGCCTTAATAATGTCGGAAGAGTTTGGACATTCTCTGGGCTTTTTAGAAATAATACAATAGTAAGCTATTTCGCATTCCATGGATATAAATAAAATATAAGACAATAATTGTTTTGCATAATATAAATAGTGATTAATGAAATGAGTAAAGTAATATGACAGTTGGAGCAGCTCCTGGTAAATAATAAAATAATACTACTCTAGACAACACAAATCTACATAATTCAAAGATTAGACCAGTAATGTACAGTAACTGCACACGTGTATCATCATGACCTGACCAACGAGTGTTTGCTTTGAAATTTGCGGCTTAATATTATCGATTAATTGTTTGATTTAGGGATTTGAGAGAGATGGATTAAAAAACTACGACATTTGTAATGCTCCATACTAACAAGTTATTTGATCTGATTTTCCTCTCACAATAATGAATTATATTGTTGCTTTCAAGATTATTATTCTCTAACATGCAAAAAAGACGATTGGTTTATTGATTTGATCGTGAGGGCTGGTACGACCGACTGATACGCTGTCCATGTTAATCTTAATATTGAAATTGTTCCTTTTACTATTACTATTATCGTAGTAAGTATAACCCATTAAGATTAATAATTGTGAGAGCTGATGCTGAAATCTCGCTGAAGCTGAAACTAACCAATGGTATTAGAGAATAAAATCTGATCAGCCAATGAAAGGTCATGGTTTCAGCTTCAGCCGTATTTCAGCATCAGCTGTGACAATAATTAAGGCTGATGATAAGCAAATCCTTATAACTTTACGTATATGCTATTGGTAAAGACAAATTCAGTAAGTTGAGAGCCTTCATGCTATTGACATTCGCTATAACAAGTAGTATATAACCTCAGTGTCAACGTTTTTATTTAGCATCACTATTACATGGCTGGGGTTTTTAACAAACCAATACAAGTGACTCTGGTTATAACGACAGCTGGATAAAACGACAATTCGACTTTCTTTTGAAAACCAAAGACTGTTTTTCATTCAAAAATTGGCTGGATAAGTTGCTGATAAACCGACAACCACACTTTTTTCATTGTCGTTATAATCGGAGTCACTTGAAACTTAGTCTTAGATGACCAAATTCTGACATTTTCATTTTCACTCCCTCATTAATATTAATCGGACGTTAATCCTGCCAATTACATTGTTTTGCGTACACTTTTTGATACGTCATTCACGTTGTAGCCACATGATCATTAACAGACTTTATTGTTATACTTATGAACTTCACGAACAACCAATCATTTACAATAACGAAGAAAATAAAATCTGAGCGAGAGCTTTTTTTGACCGTTAACTCGACTCCAACCCGTGCTTTGTCTCTCACACAACAACATATACAATCCAAAAGTAACACACTAACCAACACTTTATTAGTTGACAGAAACATACTATAACAATGGCTACCAGCAATACTATGAACTTTGGTCCCGAATGGTATGTACTTTACTTCCCGCGAAAAGAACTTTCAACTTCCTTTTTCGGCAACACTATCATAAACTTGCACACTTTTCCTTGCAATGTTATCCCATATGCCTTTTTAATTCAACATTCTAACAATAACGATCGGCCTCATAAGGATGAGACGCTTCCCAAAAAGCCCAACAAGCGAAACAACTCGTTCTACCTCACCAACACAAGGTCCATCCTCTGTTGGTAACAATATGCAACCCGCGTCTTCCTCAGGTACAATCAACTCCAACCACATTGTCGTCAATAACGGCAATGGGGCAACTGCAAACACGTTTTCTTGGTCTTCGGTGGCTGCTGCTAATAACAGCACAGTCTCCAATCGTTCTCCTAACGATACCTATGAGAAGTCTGACACACCAGGCGGAAGCGAGTCGGCTCTCAATCCATTTAAATATTCCAAGGATTTCATGCTTAAACTGTACAAACCTGTTGGATTACCACTGGAATTTGAAAGGCATGACTATGTTACAAACGAAGAACCATTACCGCCTATGGCTTTATTGACACCAACAGAGCAGGAACAAAAGGTACATCTAAATAGCACGATATCCGAGCGAGATTGGTTTTCTGAATTGCAGATTGTCTGGCATAGTATGTGCAGACTGAAATCTATCGAAATGCTCGTCTGTCATGTAATCTTGCTTGGCTCATTCATACAAAGCACAGCCTCTATTCCTCCAGTTACAGAAAAGTATATAGATGCTATGAAACGAGTATGCCTGAATACAGTATTTAAATATTATACAACGACGCCTGAAACGTTTTTATATATGCAATAGTTAGGAAGCAGAAACGTTGAATCCGATAATGCGACAAAGTAACAATGCAAAAAAGTGGTCAGATCAAATACATAGCTATTCTAATTTTTCCCCCCCTTCCATTTACTTCATGTTCAGCTATTATCTGGTACTTCAGTTAACAGTGAGGTTGTCCGTCGTATCGTTTCTAATGCGTCAGGGAATGTGACAACCGGGGGAGAACGTGCTGAGCGAGGGCCTTTCTCTCAAAAGGACAGAATTAGTGGCTTAACATCCCCAAGAAGTGAACGATTTGGTGGCATAATTGGGGGTGTATTAAGCAATCGACCAAGAAGTGGTTTGTGTCGCATGTTATGGTTCATAATATTCATTATAATAAACATTGCGATTATTATCGATACATTTGCTCAGTCTGTATGCGATTGATGGAACTTATTAGGGCGAGAAGGAAGTTTTTCGTCACCAAACATACGCCGAGATAGTGAAAAAGATGATGAAAGAGGTAGGCGAACTTGTACTATCTAGAAATAACATTCACGTCCACACAATGAGAATCTGAATAACGAACTCTTGTTAGACATTCGCGGTGGCCGTACACTAAGACTGGGCAGTACTTCTGCCAGTACAACACAATCCGGGGAAGACCCAATTTGGCATGGTGTAAGTCGTAGTGCAGTTGGCACTTTTGATAGCAACGGAGTATTTCGAATCCCCAGCAGCGGTGGAGAAATTGAAATTTCAGAAAAAGACGGGAGAGAGAACGAACTATTGGAGAGGAGCAACGGCGGGGGGGTAAGCATATGTGGTGAGTTGACTACCAAATTAATATATAAATGCTAAACATAACATACAATTACTCAACAGCACACAGATACCGATAAGATAGCGGATTCGACGTCTGGTACCAGCAATAAGATATTAAGAGAAAGAAGCATGAGCACATCTCTAGAAGAGATACATAATGGATCAAAAGTATATGGTATAGGTAAATCTATCGTTGAGGAAGAATCGCAGACATCGACAATACCAACCATAACAGGAAAGAGTAATGAACAACGACAGGAAGTTCCTCAACAAGAACCCCCAATAGAACATTCGCTTGAAAGTATCGCCCAGAAGTCAATTGAATCTTCGGTGCGATATTTAGACTCACAAGAAAATCAATCTAAAACACAGACTCAGAATAAGATAAAATTACAGCCGCCTGATTCCAATCAGTTGCAACAACAGCAACAACAACAGCAACAACAACAACAACAGCAACAGCAACTACAGCAACAGCAACAACAGCAACAACAACAACAACAACAACAACAGCAACAACAGCAACAACAACAACAACAACAACAACAACAACAACAACAACAGCTGCAACAATCACAGCAGCTGCTGCAACAACAGCAACTGCAACAACAACAGCAACAACAGCTGCAACAATCACAGCAGCTGCAGCAACAGCAGCCATTGCAGCAGAAAATACCGCAGCAAGGACAGCTTCCATCTCCAAATCAGATACGTTCACCCCCGTTTCAGGTTCAACAACAACCGCCGAACGTGATACTTCAACAGCAGCACCAACAGATGTTTTTACAGGAGCAGTTTCGGCATCATCAACATCAACAGCAGCAATTACTGATGCCCTCACATTCTTTGGCAACCACTGGTTTTGAGCCTGATCAGGACGATGAAGTTCTGAAAGAAGTATTTTACCCCGCGATGTCTACAGCATCACCACCCTTGTCTCCAGGAGTGGCTAAAAAATATTCTGCTACTCAACCTCTGATTGCTGCGAGTTCTGCCTTCGCCGAGGAAACTTCTTCGTCAAGTTTGTTTCTGAATGATCGCAAGTCGATATCTGACCAACAACGATGGTTGTATCGTGATCCTAGCAATAAAATTCAAGGTATTTGCACTCATAGTTAAGTGGATCCGTTTGTATTAATAATTGTTTCTCTCATATAGTAAACTTTCGAACGTTTCTTAGGCCCATTTACGAGTCAGGACATGAACGAGTGGTATAAGCAAGGATTTTTTACGCCAGGCTTATTAGTAAAGAGGGTAGAAGATCCGTCGTTCGAACCGTTAGGCGTATTAATACGTAGAACGGGAAATGAGGATAAACCTTTTTCAGCAAGTGCACGTCCTCCTTTGACTATAAATATGCCTAACAATGCGGGAAGAATGTTGACTGGACCTTTCCCAAGAAATTGGGGAAACGTTCCAAGTTCACCTGGCACTGCCCACGTCTTTGTGGACCACCAACAGAGATTTAATCCCTTTGGCGGAACCGCTTCAGTCCCAAATACACCTTTTGATAGGTATCAGTTTGGTGGCGTATTTGGGAGTGGAATAACAGAAGTTTCTAGTGGGTGGGGAGATTTGAATACGACGAACGCTGGCTGGGTTCCAGAGGTGTTTAACAGTAGCGCGGGGAACTTGTCTCCGAGATTACATTCAAACAATTCTGCTCTCTTCAGCAACACAAACAGTTTTGGTGTATCGCCGACACATAACTTTCTTGATCAGCGTACTTTTAATTCTCAACTGGATCGACAACAGTACCTTTCACTATTGCAACAACAACAACAACAACAACAACAACAACAAAGACAATTGCAACAGCAGCCGACACAGCAACAATCGCAGCCACCATTACAACCACCGCAGCCAACTCCACAAGTTGTGCAACAGTCTCAAACTCAACAATCACACCAGACCCCACTACATAATCCACCTTTGTATGCTGATAATTTCTTCCGCCATCAGGGTTTTGTATCAGGGACGGTGACATCTCCGGTAACCGGACCCAGTTCGCATTTTGCAGAGACAATCCCCAGAACCACAGGATGGCAACCGGCGAACGAGCAGCCAGCCCCTTCGTCATGGGGACCGTTAAGCGCGGGTTTGTCACTTACGCTTACCAATAAACCACCAAGTGAAGATGCAGAATATTTTAACACCAACAAAGGAACACAGCAATTATCACAGTCTCCTCCGACTTTAATAGATCAACAGAACACTATTGACAACGAATTGCAGGCAGCCAATACTTCTATAAAGAATGCAGATGTTTCTGTAGTCGATGAAGCAGTTGAAGCAGTTTCAAAAATTAATCTGGATAATGACGTTGAAGTAGGATCGACGTTAGAATATGCTAAAACGTCCGACGAGATAACTGCCAAACCTTACAACAAGGAAGGGACTTCAACGCATCCTACTCAGAAAGACGATGCGAACAGATCGAAACCTTCTTTACGGGAGATTCAGGCGGAGGAAGAACGGAAGAAGCAGCAGGAAGAAAAGGATCGAGCCAGTGCTCAACATTCGATTCTTTCCAATCCACCTGGCAAACCGATGAGTCCGCAAAAATCCACAAATATTGTGTGGAATACTAGTAATATTAATAATAATAATGTAATTAATGTTGGTTCGACGGCTCCCTGGGCGAGAGATGACGATCATCCGTCACAGAAGACACCCTCACTTCGTGAAATTCAAGAAGCAGAGGCGCGTAAGGCAGCTGAACGCAAAGCAGCTGAGCGACAAACAGTCAATGCAGTCAACGCAGCAGCTTCTAGTCGAGAGAACGCGACGCTGTCATCAACATCATGGGGATTGATTATGTCAAATACGGCAATGGCAACCAACTCTGTTTCATCATCATCCAATTCACCTATTGTTTCGACACAAGCGTGGCAGAGTGCAGCTGCACCCAAGAAAACGTTACGTGAAATTCAAAAAGAAGAAGAAGAGGCCGTTAAGAGGAGGAATAAAATGCGTGAAATACAGCAACAAGCTATGCTTAACGTAGCAGCAAGTTCACCTACTTCAAGTGGTGTTGGAAAACGCTATGCTGATACTTTGGTTACTGGACCTAACGCTGTGAATGCAAAAGCTGTAAGTTTGCTTATCTTAGAATATTCAACATACTCTGTTGAACTTGTGCTTTGACACCTTCTTGCTTATACGTTAGGAATAACGATAATATATATTCCTCTTAGAAAACGACAACCATCCCTACTGGGACGGCCTGGACGACAGTCGCTGGTAAGCCAGCAACACGTATGGTTATGTCTTCTGCGACTTCAGCTGGTGGGAATGGGGGTGGTACTGTCATGAAGCCCGCTGCTTCTAAAGATTTGCCTCTTGCGTGGGATGAAGGCCAGAAAGGATCTAACGGTCTTCAGAACGCGTACAGGTTACTAGATTATAGTAGATTTAATCTCTGCAAACACGAACATCTGTCGCGATTTTTTTAACATTCTCGTTATACTATTTTAGACAACTTCCAACAAAGTCCACTGACCAAACGAAAGGCATTACTAGATCTATGTCGTTGAACGCCACCACTTCCGGATCTAAGCAAACAAATAACTCGAGCTTGACAAATTCAGACCAATCATCCCCTCGTCCGCCCTCTGAAGACTTTATGAAATGGTGTCGGCAAGCTTTACGCGGACTAACGAATATAAATAGTACGTTGCATGGTGTATAATGTATTAAAAGAGTTAACAATATCGTTCTGACTAACCTTCTATTGTATAAAAATAGGTGACGAGTTTATTCAAATGCTTCTCACTTTCCCTCTTGACCCTCCTCCGCCAACAATAGAAATTATTCAGGATTCTATTTATACATATTCCCCAACATTGGATGGTCGTCGCTTTGCCGATGAGTTTGTAAAGAGACGGAAGGCAGATGCAAGCGGAATACCCATGAGTAGCTTTTCTATACACCATGCGGACGGTAAAACTGGCAAGGATGTAGGAACTGGTATTACGGGTACAAAAGATGATAATTCTGGCACAGGCGCTGGCGCATTTAAAGTCGTAACGACTAAAAAGAACAAGAAGAGGCATTGATTTGAGACATACGGATAAACAAACATAATGGACAATTAGATTCATCTTATTTATTCCGTAGCTTTTAGCCAGGTAGAAAGTGAGAAAGTAGCACGTCAAAGAAATAAATAATATTCTTGTTCGTGTATCATATAGGCGCGCTAATTAACTAAGCAAGTTCATGTGTTGCTAAAAGATGTGAGATGGAAGCTTGTTGTATTATGAACTTTATGAGGACAGAAGCATTTGCATATACTATATATAGATTTATAATGTTGGGAGAGATCGAATGCGAACAAGGGAAGATGATTATGGTATCTCTTGGCGATCAACTAATAGTTCGACGACTTCTTGCATTAGATCCAGGAACTGACTAAAGCTTTTTAGATCTGCATCATCTCGCTTCAAAACGATCACTCCGACGATGATAAGGGCAAACACGGACCTGCATATAGGAATCGAATCGAAAAATTAAGGTACAGGTGGATCATCTATTGTATGCATAAACGACAAGACTTAGCTTATTACCGACCAATAGAAGGAATATCCAGCAACTGATGGACCTATCAGGGCAGCGACACTCACGAAAGAATTGCCGTTGCGGCCAAACCGGCCATTTGCAAACTTCAACATAAGAGGGTGTTTCTCAAGACGTTCTTTCATTTCCCTAATAGCATCGCCTTCCTATATTGGGCAATGGAATCAAAATCATCTGCGATAAGTCCATACGTCAAACAATAATACGACGCATGGTGTTCCAACCTTCATGCAGTCCAGTATCGATTCGATTGCCTTATTACCATCCTTGACTATTGATGTGTTGATTTGTGTTGAATATTTTATTAACACAAGTTGTAAAGATTTAGTCGATTTGAGACAGGAAATAGCGGATTCGAATGACCATGATCCGTAGGAAATAGCCATCATTAATGGTGAAACGATACTCTGTAGTACATGAATGACAAATTTGCGGGCCTGTAAGAAGTCGAAAAGAGTAGACTCTGGTGCTAGTGAATCTCCGTCCACCAGAGTCCACTGTTGTGGGTTACGTCTGATATGGATAATGTCGTCATCAGAAAGATATTCAGCAGCCAGATCTTCCTCAAGGTCCTCCAAAATTTCCCTTGTGTTATGATCAGTCGCGCCAAAGATGCTCGACTCCATAGCTGCAATCTCTTCTTCAAACCCTTGCTCGTTCGCGTACATATCGCCTATATCCAGCTTAGCTTCTTTGAGGTGTTGTACAAATTCCGTTTCGAGTTCAAACAAAGACTCTTTGTTAGCCATTAGTTCATGGAATAACGCTTGAATTGTTTGTATGTCGCAATACATTTGGTATAATTCTTCGCATGGGAAATCTTCCCTTCCCAGCTCTTCTGCGCCAAGACGTCCTGAATCATATAAAGCCCTAGTTTCTGGTTTGCTAAGGATATTGTACGCCTCGTTTATAAGTAGAAACTGGTTGTTGGCTTTTGTTCTGTCGATATTATTAGCGATGCTTCTATTCTTGTCTGGATGGTATTTTAGAGCCAACTTTCTATATGCCTTTTTGATTTCATTTGTCGAAGCTGTCGGCGCCACTCCCAAAACTTCGTAGAAAGACACTTGTGGTTGCATATTTACGCTGAATGTTTGCGTTATGACATGCATAGTCATAGTTGTGAGCGTGGAAGTCGGCGCAGTCCGTGGGTTTTTGTTCTTCAGTCGGCGCAGTTGACCATTGTTCGGTTATGGTCATCTGATATATTAATATTAATATCATTGGAGTGGATCCGCATTCCCCCATCCTTGGCAAATATGGCAGGGATGTGTATTTTGATTTTCGCCTTGGCTCAAACTTATATACTGTGGCATGGAGCTGCATACCAGGCTCGTTGAGCTCGAAAAGAAGGTTATACGCTGATACATTGTTGTTAAGCAAGTATTTGGTCATTGTTACTGACTACTGTTAACATCATTACAAGTTAAAAGAATTAACCGTTTTAAATGCCGAGTTAACTTCTCTAAAGCCGACGGCAGTGAAGTATTTACCATCATTACGCTCGAACTGTATATTATACATAGTCTTTACACGACTATTTCTTAAAAAAAATAAATAAATAGACAATCTACCAACAAAGGACAAACGCCAGAGTTTTCTTCTTGGTCAACGATAAGACAACACTAATATCGGAAAAGTCTGGTATGTTTCATTTCTCGAGCAGACAAGTTTGCTATATTGGATAAATCCCAATGTTTTGACTTTTGGCTGATTTGTTGCAGAAGAACACGCTAAAGTGAAAAATATGCTGGACAGGTTGAAGGAGTGATCGATTGGCCAATTACATGCTTTGTACTCTTAATACTAGAGAGTATTGCACAATGCTTAAACAAATACTGAATACGGTAGTTAAGGAATCGTCTGTTCTCAATGGGCGACCTAATAGCAAATTTCAGTCCTAGCCTTCAGATCAATAAAGGAGAAATTTGCATATTCAATGAATTATATGGACACCCATTGTAATCCAATTTAGAAGGACCCTCCAATATATGGGTAATGTACCACTAGAAATCTTAATATAAGCATTTGATGCAATACAACCACCCTAAATGTTTGATCCACAATGTCTGGAAACTGGATGTCTTTCCGTAAAGCAATCAGTTAGAGCATCGCCACATCTGTTCTTCTTAACAAGAAAACGGATCAATAAGTGAGCCGTTGGAATTTTTTTTTATTTTTAAATGTCAATGTGTGATGTATAAAAAAGTAATGGGTTGATTCCACCGATGTGACTGTAGAATTACAACTGTAAATCGACCTATTCATGGAGTCCTAACCTTTCCATTTCCTGTTTAAACGTTTTGTGTAAGTATAATGTCAACTAGATCCATTATGACTTTAATGGCCAATTATCGTTACCTCTCTTAGAAGGGTGCCCATTTTCGCCGGACTCTTTGATACTATCACCCCAGCACTCTCAAGAGCTTTAATCTTATCGGGCGCGGCACCCTTGCCACCAGCGATGATTGCGCCTGCGTGGCCCATGCGTCGACCTGGCGGTGCTGTCAATCCGGCAATAAATGCGACCACTGGTTTTGGTTGGCTACGGGTGAGGTTATGCTGCTTTAAGAATTCAGACGCCTCCTCCTCTGCTGATCCACCAATCTCCCCGATCAATATAATACCTGTGTATTTTTATGTATTATATTAATAATTGCGTACATGCTGCCTATGTTTTAGACGATAAATGACTCACCCTTAGTGTTGTCGTCATCCAAAAAGAGCCTCAAACAATTGACAAAGTTAGTGCCATTAAAGGGATCCCCTCCAATGCCTACACACAATGTCTGTCCAAGATTTGCACGGGTAGTCTGATTAACAGCCTCGTACGTCAAAGTGCCGGATCGAGAGACAATTCCAACACTACCCTTCTTGTGAATATGACCAGGCATTATTCCAATTTTACAAGCTTCTGGGGCAATTATTCCCGGACAGTTAGGTCCAATCAGCCGTGTCTTTCCTTGTGATTTCAAGGCTTTAATGACCTGAGTGAAAAATTGTAATTCGATTCTTAACATTAAAACAAAGACGGCCTAAAACAAGGCTTTTCTTGAAATGCTATATATTATCAAATTAAAGCGTTTATGATTATGTGAACACTTCCTAATACCAACAAGAAAACGCAGGTTACCTTGACCATATCTTTTTGGGGTATACCTTCCGTTATCGCCACGACCAGCGGGACTTCGGCTTCAACGGCTTCTAGAATGGCATTTGCAGCGAAAGGGGGAGGGACGTAGATAGCAGAAGCATCTGGTTTCACTTCCCGGACAGCCTACTATGTAGATATACGCGTCGAGGGTATATTATTTGAATAGCAACATCTAGAACTTCACTACACTGACCTCCGCAACAGAATTAAACACCGGAAGTCCCAAGTGGGTTTTACCACCTTTACCGGGAGATACGCCCCCTACGAAATTAGTCCCATAATCTAATGCTTGTTGTGTATGAAAGGTGCCCTGTGCAAAGAAGAATCGATATCCAGATCCTCAATTGAGTAAGGACTTAAAAGTATTACCAAGCAAAGTTTTGAGTGCTTGCTTTCTGCAGTACCTGGTGACCGGTTATCCCTTGACAGATGACTTTTGTATCTTTTGTCAAACGCATATTCCAAACCGTGTCGTCATAAACCGAATTTCGGATAGCCGTAGAGGAAAGGGCTCTCTGAGCAGATTTGTAGAGAAGATTCACTGGAATAGGCAAGGATCGATTGTTTTATTGGGAAAGGGTTGGTTTTTTTTTTCGAGTCAGCGCACGAGCTGCAAACAATCCATACTTGACCATTCGACGGAAATCCGCGAGATTACCTGAGGAAAGACGAACAAACGAAGTCCGTACATTGTAACGCAACATAGTTCTGACTGAAGAATGGGCAAACGGAGGGGAGAGTGAAGACGTTCTTCCAGTTGCGAGGATCAGGAGGAAGTAAAATTCTCAAGTACAACACAGCTGTGTGTCGAACTGTGTGGCCCTATGATAATATGTCGATCTTCTGAAAATGTAGGATGATCAGATTATGTGGAAAAAATGACGTGTATTTGGATATGTTTGTACAATGTGTCTGGATTGCACGCGTATTAGTATACTTGCTTTTTCAGCCGCAAATTGATCACTAGTAAGACTTTACCTAGTATTGCTAGTATTAAGCGAATAACATAGTTTAGTCCCAAGCATGCTGACAAGAATGTATGTAGGACTATTCTATGCTAAAAACAGAATCTTTTATTCCGACTTTCTTTTACACGTTAACTTTTTGCATGACCAAGCAAGGCATTGGAGGATGAGTTCCCAGCTGACTAATTATAGTGATTCACACCCTGTTTCCTCGTCAGTTAGCCCGTCAGCTACTTTCTTGATGCCTCAGCTAATTTATTTAAAAGTGTTGCACTTAGTATTAGACAGTAGGCTAATCGTGATTGTCATTGTCACGATATGCAAGTCAACTTTATTGTATAACCGCACCACCATTTATTTCCATTTTTGCTATTACACGTCTCGCGAAATTACTTTACATGGCAAGTTTGGATTCGTGACCCTTATACGCTGTATTGTGCTGTTAAAAGGTGCACTTTTTGTTAATCGTTGCGCGGATGCCTCGGTCTAGCCGCCTGATCTGCCACAGCATATGAACCAAGGGCGAAAACGGCGTCGACCATAGTCGCATATAATATAACATTTGGGACGTCATTGCCCAAGTACTTGTACAATCCAGTCAGGCCGCACATAAGTAATCGGTTTAACACTACAAATATATGAGTATCAAGATGTATTTGTGGTAACTGCACATGCGTGTTACATCATCATTTACCTGTATTCTTCATAAATTTCTCGTCATCATTCATACTGGCAACAATATGATAATGACCGAGAGCGATCTATAATAGTAATAGCGTCGATTTATTGGATTGCAAAGCCTTCAACTTTCTGATCATTCAATGGCGGTAAACGTACCATAGGAATCCCCAATAGCCTATACGCAGTCTGAACCTGTCCGAGCTGAGCCGAGATTGGAGATTGGATGGCTAAACCTGGGTTAAAAAACAATGAAACACCTTCTGCAACATTGATCGTTCCTTGGATCATGTGCAATGTAGTAGGGCGAACATAGGAGTATAATCCATTGGAAGACATGGCAAAGTCGTATTTTGAGAGTGATTTTGATAGTATGCAAGTAAACAGTTGTTGGTTTTGGGGGCGTATTTATATCATTGAAATAGGTGATGTAACATTTACGTCGCGGTTGTGTACATACTTTTTGTATAGTATTTACCTTTGATGACGTATCAATTACATACATATGGCGGATTCTCTACCAATAGATTATACTGACTGCGGACGTTGATCTGAACGTGGTGATTATATATATAGCCAAATGATCATAAGAGGTCTCGGAGTTCGAAACTGCTAAACGCCACAAACTGTCTACCTCGGATTTTGTCCGCAATCGCGATTTATTTTGAAGCGGTATCTGTGATGACCCTTAGTTTTGCAATTTGTTCGCGACTTTGATGCAATTGCAAAAATCAAACAGCCAAAGAGTTTGAAAATAAAAGCTACGATGAATGCCAGTAGCATTCAATTTATTTTCGCAGCTACATCTCTTTTTTAATTCTAATGTTGAACTGCTTCATGGGCTTGTCTTTATAGGGTTGGAAATTGTCATCGTGGAAACAGCGAAAGCCTTTCCTCTGCCAAATATCTTGTAGATTAGGAACAGATAGAAATGTTGAATCCAACTCGGCTTTTTATCAAAATTAAGAGAATTTTGTTTGCCGAAACGTTGCAAGTTTCCAGATTCTATAGTCTTGTTAATTGTATTGTGGAGTCGGATTATTACAAGTTTGCTATTTTGCAATGATCTAAAACCGAATTTATCAATACTCCAAAAAGAAATTTGCTTGTAAAAGTAGCGTTCTTGCAAAAAGTTATTGATAAAGAATTTTATATTTGTTTTTATTAGTTTATGTGTCATGGGTTGTGTTTTTTGAAAGTGAGTAAATTGTGTTGTTTTATAGTAAAACCTTCGTTCATTTTGGGTTGCTTAACTAGGCAAACGCGAATTATAGCAATAGCAAGTGAGCTCTTGCTGTGCGAGAAAGCGGATTATGGGAGATCGGGTTGTAAATATCATAAAGTATTACGTAAATTGTAGCGGTAGTGGGTTAACTCCTGTTTGATGGGCTTTAAAGCCTTAATAAAAAACGCTTCCTCAAACTGGATCTCCGTGTATATCAATCATTAAACCACTTCAACGTCCACTTGGGACTGCTAACGAAATGCTTGAAGATAATATTACAACGAAAAAAATGTTCCTGATTTTCGTAAACGTGTTAATGTTAACGTTACTATTTAATGTCAATAATCCTGTTGCTCGAATTATTAAATCAAATACGCTAATTATTGCTCGACCTTTTTTACTTCTCGAGGAAGAGTATGTAATAATCTAAGGGCGGTATCTGCAAACATTTTCTCTCTTGGTGTATTCCAACACCATCACCACTCAAAGAAAGTACCACTATAGTAAATTGTTTATCATCTCTTTACGAGTACTTTGCAATGGATAATATGGATCGATTTGGCCTTTGCATTTTGTTAAATATTTTCGTATTTATGGAAGTGTTTAATATATAATCTTGAGGCACGTAGTCTTTGTTCTTCGTTCTACTTTTATATTATCCAAAACAATTCGTCGGTAAACGGGCGGGAAACGCAGATCGCGCGAAAATCCAGATCGCCGCCCTGCCGCGGGCAGTGTTGCACAAACGCTCGCAAGTCCATATTGTAGCTTAATTTTGCTTAGTTGACGATGACGAGTAGTGGATGAATCGGACCAAGTTTCACAAGATGTTTTGAACAAGGATAATCCCTTGGGGTAAGCATCTTGTTGATTTCACTCTGAGCATTCTTGAGTTCAGTAAATATGCAACGACAATGAGTTTAGTATAATATGCAAAAGAGCTTGTTTAAAATAGCGATTAAACAAGTTATTATTATTATTATTATGTCGATTTTCGGGGGGCGTATTATCATGTATGACCAATCACTGTCAGCGAAAATTGTTCGACAATTCGATTTTGGATCGGTGGGCTAACACCCACTAGTTCATTTAAGCCAGACAATTGGCTGGTAGGCGTTTTTCGCAGTTGCCAACTTGCTATTGTGCAAGCAGTGCGTTGCGTTGTCTAAAACGCAATTAAAAGTCATTTCCCACCCTGCAAAACGTTAATTTCGGTAGAACGCAGTGCTATAGTTTTCATTCATAGGACCATTTCGAAGAACACAGCATGTCCAAGTCGCTAAACATGATGCATTTGCGGTATGTGAGCAAGGAGATATTTTTAATATCTGTTGAATAAGCTCTGCGCGTCCTATGCGTGATTTTATCATTATCTAAAGATTGGTCTCTGTGTCAACCAATGTTATCATTCCCATATGTATTTGGTATTCACTCTGTGCCCATTGTCCCTACTGTATGCGGGTTCATGATCATCGTTCTGCAGCGATGTGCGTTTATAAAGTGATAGAAAACACTCGATATACCAATTGTCTCATTTTCTCCCATTCCCCCATTCTTCTCATAATACTTTGCAAGAATGACCACGCAAATACTGGAAGCAACTATAGACTCCAAGTCTTGCTCTGTTTCGTTCGATGGAGAAAATATCGTCTTTGGTCCAAACGGTACGTTAACAATTACATAATGTCATATTTTTCCGCATAGAAAGGAGTCCCAAGCTTTTTATAGAGGTTTGCTTATCATTGTACTGCTGTGATAAAATCTTCCATGAATATTTGTACCATAACACACCAGTATGACTCCGACACTTCCTATAGGAAACGCTCGAAGTGTCAACTGGACTTCGGCTCGAAGTGTGTATTGGTCTTCCAACGGTTGATTAATGTCATGAATTTGGGAGTAATTGAAGTGACTGCTGAATAAGCGATTTGCTGTTGATTCATTCTTTATACGCTTTTGATCTTTTGCTTATCTAATGCTGAATTTAGAGGGTATAAAATCAATTCCCGCCCTTAATGTCTTGAATGTTACTTTGGAAGATGAACATAGCATCAAGATACTGGTTGCATCTCCAAAGGGATCTAATAAACTGCGAGTCAAAACCATTGAACTAGTAGCAGCCGATGCCGAAAAGGCTAAAGAATGGGTACCGTTAGTAAATAGGGCTGCATACAAGGGTATTTATAAAACAGAAGACGATTAACTTGGTGCAAAAGCACAAGATGATCTTAGAACGCAATGGTGCATACAAGCGATATTCCAATAATTTACCATTATCCAATCCAATTCTTCAGATTCCAAGAGAGGCAAACGTTTCAAAGTCATCATCAACCCGTTCAGCGGCACTGGGAAAGCGTCGGAAACATTTCATAAGGAAGTAAAGCCATTGTTCGAAGCTGCTGGATCCACATGGGATATTACACGTACGTATCGATCCGACATCTTATTATAAATGTGACATCACGCATTCCCATATCCTTTTATGATCGGAATTCTAATCTTAACGTCTCCACTCTCAGTCACCGAAAGGAAAAATCATGCTAAAGAAATAGCACAGACGCTGGCCCTTAGTATGTACGATGCTATAGTCACCGTAAGTGGTGACGGGATTGTGCATGAACTAATTAACGGCTTGCTATCAAGACCAGACGCAGCCGAAATTACGATTCCCATTGGATGTATCCCGGGTGGTACGTAAATACGTAAAGTAAGAAGCAGAGCTTAATATATCAAATTTGTAATGTCGTTTATTGATGCATAATTACAGGCAGTGGAAATGGCATATCGGTTTCTCTCACTGGAAATAAATATGGATACAGTGCTTCATATTCCGCTTTGGGCGTCATCAAAGGTGTGACTAACTTGCAAACTCGCAACCATTACGAGAGTCTATTTGCAAGATGAGTTGTTGTTTCGTTACTCATCTTACGTGGACACGATTACGTTATATTTTAGGCAAATCATTCAAAATGGATATCTGCTCAATAACTCAAGGAGAGAACCGCTATTTCAGCTTTATTTCCCAGACTTACGGTATCGTGGCTGATTGTGATCTGGGCACCGAGCATCTCAGGTAAGATAATATTCTTCGTGTACACTATGTAACTATCCGAAAACCCCTCCAGACAGTTTTTTTTTCCTCGTTACATTGCAATCAGATGGATGGGCGATCTACGCTTTACTTGGGGTGCTCTCAAATACATCCTTCAAGGCAAACGCTATAGCTGCCAAATAGCTGTAAAGGTGGAGGAAAACGATATCCAAACAATCAAAGAATCGTACCGTAATTCACAGCAGAACTCTAAAGCTGCCGTACCATCGGCAAAAGACACTATTTCGGGATCTATTATAGACACTTACGGTTCAGTCAATGATTCAGTACCGAATGATTGGACTGTTTACGATGAAGATATTTGGATGTTTTGGGCTGGAAAAATCCCATATGTCGCAAGGGACATGTGTTGTTTCCCTTGCGCTTCACCTAATGACGGTTTTTTGGACCTAATGATTGCATTTAAGAAGAATGTTAGTCGAACGAAGGCAATTAAATTCATGGGATGGATGGAAACTGGAAAGCATATCGATGCCGAGGAGGTATGTTATTATAAAAGAAAATATGCCAAACGATTGTTGGTGCATTCGCCGTTGTACAACTTTTAGATCCCCCCTCTCGTTTTATGAAGTCGTCAAACATATTTAGCGTTATCATAACTCATGAAATTCATTCTTTCAATTGTAACCACAGATTATCTACTGCAAAGTAAAGGCATTCCGTTTAATTCCCAAGACCCGCGCAAACACATACATATCAATTGATGGAGAAAGTGAGCCTGTAGAGCCAATCCAAGTTGAAGTTCATTCTCAACTGATTAACTTCTTGTCATTGACGGGGAAGTATGCTCCAGTTAAAATATAAACAGCAATTCCTTAACATTTTTTATCCTTACATAGAGACTTCTTAGACTTGAGATTTACGGGGTTGAAATTTCCGATCAGATTTATAGTTGGGTCGATTTAGTTATAATATCGCAACGTTAATTATTCGTTTGCTAGATTAATAAATGTATTACTACAATGAATAGACAATGTACATAACTCGTCACCATCGTGTTGAACTATATCGGTAGATAGGTCGGTTTGTTTATAAAGACCTCGGCATGTCGTTTCCAATTTCAATGAACGTTTACTCCGTAGACTCGGGCCCTGTAAATAGTAATATGAAACGATGAGGTTAGCATGCTTGTATAAATTTTATCGGAGGTACTGTATTTCTTCGCGAGATATGGTTAGTCAGATACCGTACGTAGTCATTTATGTCTTGTCATATGTTCGTATAGAAATGAACAATCCAAACTTAACAATGTGTCATCATATGAACGAACTTTATTACTATGCATTCAATCGTAATAGTCCTTACCTCGTCAATACTTTCATCATTTCCCAATTTGAGACGTGCCCTGTCAATGTGTCAATGCAAATCGTCAAAGAAATGATAGATAACGTTCGTGAGCAGGACCCAAAGTGGCGCCCTATCTCTTATATAAACGCTAGCTAGATTCTATCGTTGAAAGTTATTGTGTCGTTGTGGTGTGTCCGTGTTCCGATGTTGTGCAGTGATAGGCAAGTACCATTTTCTGGAGAAACCTTTTCTGTGTATTGATTGTTGATTGACTTTTACAGGAAAATACGTCCGCAAGGATCCGTAGAGTAAGAGACACGCCTCAAATTCTGGGTCCTCTTGGGTCGCATGTAATATACCGAATGATTTTGTTGGATTCCCAAGTGGAGTGACATCATGGGGAACGATTTTTCCAAAAAAAAAAAAATTTTTTTTAAATTTTCGAGAAAATTTCATTTTATATAATCCGATTTCGTCACAATTACTGATATGGCAATTGCTCAGATTTAAGATTCTATGTTAACCAGAAAAAGGCAATAAACAAATATTCAATCTCTTTCAGATTGACTTGTCAATGTTAACTGACAGTTGCTATAAAAAATGGAAAAGGCTCTCAATACTTAGGTCTTAACTCTGTGTTGGGGATTTTCTTTAAGAAATTGAGTGGTTTAAAAAAATATCAGCATTTTCTTTTTGAAGCTCAGCTGGTTGCTAATGGTGCTTATACAGAATTTGATTCATTAAAAAGCAGGAAAGCAAATATTTCTGGAATAATAATAACCAAAGAAATTAAAACTTTTCCATCCTAGTATTAACCCCTCCTCCTTTGGATTACCGAAAGCAAGAGCATGCATTTGTCAGAGATGAATTTAAAGACCATGACTACCAATTAATAAATTTAAAATAAATGCCCTCTATTGCTTTATGACTCGACAATATTAAATTGTCCCTCGCTCTTTTAATAACGATAAGTTAATCTCTCAACGCTTGTGTTTTCATTCAAACACATATTATGGCGTTGGTGAATGGAAGTAGTAATAATGTTTCTTTGGACGAATTTATGGATATCTACCCATTATTCGTTATTGATTGAGAAAAACAAAGTGAACGACTCAAAGCCGAATTCGGTGCCAATGTTCTGGTTGATACAGTGAGTTGACGATCGATTGTTCTCTTGCGATTGTTGACTCGATAACAGATAAAATGTGACGTCTTGTCACGATTGAAACAATTTTTTTGACATGTCCCGAAAAGCGTCCTGTTTTGCCATAAAAAAGGACCGGCTAAATTAATTATTTACAGAGGCTTTGCCCCGAGTTGTTTATTCAAGTGATGATAGCTTTTACATTCGCGCCGTCATTCAGAGACATTATGGTATTTCTGGCACAGTATTTGCGTCGTCATTCGAATGACGATGAATTATTTTAACCGGGCTCAAGTTTTTTGATAAGCTAACCTAACCAGAACACTAGTCCAACTAGTTTTCGAATTTCCTTGAATGGCGTGCAAACGGGTGAAGTCATTATCATTTTTCCCGGTAAGTCAAAGAACAATAAACGCGATTTTTGAATAACCATAACTTTAAACGTCATGAATTCTATTACTAATTAAAATTTTACAGATGTTTTTATAAATATTTTTAATAAAAGCATTCAGGCAAGTAAACTGACACTTACCTTCGATAGGTCCCTCGCATGACGAAAGGAAACTTGCTGCATGTCAGAAGAAACTGGCAGTATTTTATACATAAACTTGAGTGAGAGTTTCAGTAAATGCAAAAATATAAAGTCACAACCGCCTTTCAACTTTGCCTGATTAAGTATATTATTATTTATTTCCCATTTAGAATAGTGACTTAAAAATACCAAATCGTCAAGCGGGTATTCCCTCAGAGAAAAGGCTGGCAAAATGTATAGCGACCTTCTTGATTCATACGCGCATATCATATTACGAGAGTGTATGTTCACCCTTTGCACTCTTATCAATCATCCCCCTAATCTACGCTATAAATTCATTACGTACAAGTCGCGGTACTCACGATGAAGATCGTCAATAAATAACACAACTCGTCCGATACCAGTTTGACTTCTGATCGATAAAGCAGTAGTAATTGGTCATAATCGGTCATCTAACTTTGTTTCCACCTTTTGTTTTGCAACATACTGATTCTTGTCGCAGAACACGTAAATTTGTGCGACTTCAAAATTTTGTAAGATTTTACGATTTTCTTGTACTGTTTGTCAAGCGGAAATCGTCCTGATCGTGTCACGTTACACTATCGCTTGAACACTTTGTCTTCAGACAATCCAGCGAAGAAGCTTGAGTATTAATAGTAGTAATAATGTCTGACAACGAAGGAGCTTCAAATAGTTGAGTGTCTTTCCCATGTGGACTAAGAATTCTATCACACATGAACAGCAATTGTGTCAACAAGAATGTGACAAGTTGTTTGCGTGTATTTGTTGAGAGTTCTGTTTATTGAATTAATTCGTAGGCATTGAGTCAATTAACTGGCTCGATTAACTCTATTGTACTTTTAGATGAACTTCTCTTGGTAGCCGCAAAGCAAGATAGCGAAGATATTTTTGAAGATATATTATCGCAGCCTAACACCTATAACATTAATCATGCCGACAGCATAGGAAATACTGCTCTCCATTATGCGTAAGTACGGACATTGCAACATTCTACCATATTCAATTGAGAGTGTTTGTTGTTTTTTTTGATTCGTTGTCTTGTCGCATAGATTCTGCATAGTGAATAAAAAGTTATCACTTTAGTGATTGAATATCTAATTCACCTCAGTGCTCAATTCGGCTCTCTTACGTTGGTACGACGGTTACTTGGACAGAAAAACATCAACGTCAATTCTCAAAATACAATATTAGGCGATACACCTTTGCACAAAGCTGTTCAATATACGGACGTTCCTGCCGATGCTTATGAAATTGGTAGGCTTACTTAATCTTAGTATGGCATATGCGCAATGCTGATACAAGAGGATCAATTCGTGGGTGTTTAAACAAAAGCTTTCTTTATGTTGTAGTTGAAGAGCTTCTTAATGCTGGTGCGAATCCTAGGTAAACGAAAGAACGATTGACGATATTTTCGATCGAGCTGTCTCAATTTACCGTCCATATTCAATAACGTTTTCTTAGGACACGAAATAAAAATGGACAGAGGCCCAATGAACTAGTCAATCCAGGAAATCAAGACCTAACAAAACTCCTACAACAAGCTGTTGCTGGCCTTGAAGCGGTAAATCTAATCGTCGTGTTTGCAATCAATATATAGCATTCAACCAATTGACTCCCTTTTCTTTTTTATCTAGGATGTAAGTGAAATAGCGCAGGACGATGACTCTGATGATGACGAACCACCAAGTGATGTAAGCGAAGATTGATTATATATTAACTGCTATACAAAGCGTCTCCAATATATACATAGACAGCAATTGTATTAAATTATATCTTGGCCATATAAATACCACATTGTACAGTGTGTTTAATATGAGAATGACGGATGACCGTCAACAAACAACCCATGAATTTATCTTGCACAAATGATTGTGTTGCGTTCATTACTAATTGGGGTCGAATATTCAGAACCAATAGAACTTAGACCAAGGATATCGTTTTAAATAATTTAGGTGATAAGGGTTCGATTGTTAGTCTCATGCGAATCCTTCTTTATAACATGGGATCGATGAATGAGACTTAACGCATCCGTTCAGTATTATTTGCGACATGACGTTAATAGCATTAACCCTCACACAGTGTATTGCGGTGGTTTGCAATAAATTGAAACATTATGGTATTTTCATACTACTTCTGATAGCATGCCACGATAACCACGTGCTTACTAAATGTACAAAGAACGACGCATCGTAAAAAACTACGAAAGCACTGTGATGAGATTGGATTCTGGAACAATAAGCCTCTCCTTGTTTTTATGAAATATTGTAAATAATACGACGTAACATTACTATCGTTGCGAACTATTACAAATTTATGCTCTGATATTTCATCGTAAATGGCTAAATCCCAGGTCCATATACTGACGCTCTAATATCCAAGCGCATGGTGGCCAGGTTTATATATAGGGTGAATTGATGAAAATGACTCCGAAATTTTTTAAAGATATACTGTATATCGCGTATACTTAGGACTCTGCGCAGACGCGAGGTATCAATCGGTAAGTTGGTCGCAAGACCCTATTTTCCATGAAATTTTGATGACGTAAGGCTTTATCTTTACTAACGGCTTTCATTTCTGACAAATATTATTTTCACAACTACGGTCTCCACTGACGGGGAGCGTAACGATTTTTTATCCGACTAAATTCTCTAAGAATAATTGGATGCATCTTTTGGTACGTCGTGTCCGTCGCGCAGATTGCTTCGACAACTGTACATCACGTTTAGGGAGACCAATTGGTTAACGAAGCAAATTTTTTAAATGCGCGCCAACAGTTATTAGTATATGAGACACTGTAACTCCATTATTCCTGGACAATTTCGCTATGGTTTAACTGGCCTCACAAATGACTTAAATTTAATATCATTTAATTGTCGTCAAGAGGAAGATGGCAGTAATTTTTTGTAAAATTTGCTCTAAAAATTTTTAAGTACTAAATAACATTTAAGAATTAAATGTAAATTAGTATTATTATTGCTGTCTAAGTGAATTGACGTGCTTTGAAGTGAGGATTAATCTTAACCCACAGTGCATATGTCCAATGCGGTATTTGAAACGTGCAATTGCATTCTCCAAGTAGTGAGTGAGTAACGCAAAAGGTTTAATGAAAAATTGGGGGGGTTTTCCCAAAAAATTTCTCGTTTCTGCATGATTTTGGAAGCTCATTGATTGTGCTTTTCGAAAAAAAAGTAGCAATTTTTTTATACCTTCTCGTTGCATCGTGTGACGAGTGAATGCGATATAGTCTTACCATACAGCTTGAAGCTGTTATCAGGCAGAAAAAATGTACAACGTAGGCGTGCTCAGCAGCGAGAAATGTGTGATGTACTATAAGCGCAAAAACTAGTTTAATATGGGGGATTGTTCGCGGAGACGTTCGTGCATTAACTAACATGGGTTTAGTTTATTGGCTGAATAATTTGTAACAATGCCCTATACTGCCGTTATAGTACATTACTAGTACACCAGATTGAAGTATCGCGACGGGGGCGCATAAAATTGAGCATAACTTCTTTCATGAGATAACGCAGAATCTATTGTTAAGGAGAAAGATAGATGGAACGATTGCTTTAATAGATGACAAATCGAGGACAATTTTATTGGTTTGGAGAGAATCGATAACGACTATGTCGATGACCCGAGACGTTTTAGTTTATTAATATTTTTGGGGAATGCAAAAAGGGGTTGAGTTGTATTGACCATATTTGCTGACAAAAAAACTTAATAAAAAGTTAAGCAATTAATTAAACTTTGTTACCAGCAAAAAAAAATAAGCAATAATTGTCTATTACGCATTTTAAATAAACAAACTAAGCTGTCAAATGTCAACGAATACTTATGAATAAAAGTTGCTCTATTACAATTTTTGGAATGAAGACATTAGCTCTGTGCCCGAGCTAGCAAGGGCCACAAAACTGCCAGTTACAAAAGTTAAATTAGAACGGCGTTTCGAAAAATCCGCAACAGCAAAAACGGTTCGAAAACCTGCAACAGCACAAAATACTATAATTAGAAATAGCTAAAAGAGCGTTGCGCTTTTTCCGCAACGCTCGAAGATATTAAGTAGCTCATATTCCATCGCCAAATCATGTCCTGAAAACATCAAAAGTTCGAATATTGTTGTGGAATAAAATAAAGCTACTGATCCTAGTGGTATCCTTTATTATCAATATCCATTTAATTTCTATCGTCGAAATAATTGATGGAGTTTATCTCACTTAATATATCGAAGAAGTAACTCATACATTGTCATCGTCACCAACCTCTGAGTCTCGCCGGGGTACGACTCACGTTGGGTAAATGGGAATTCCTCTTACGGGATATTCGACTGTTAACTTTCCTCAACTATTGAGAGCGTTCATAATTATCATTGCTGGATAATTCACTGAACCGGAAGTCCGATATATCGTTAGTCTATGACAATGTTACGTTTTTCTATGAGTTTACTTGTATTCCGTTGCGATTAAGTTAACACTCGACGCCAAGCGAAGAGTTAATATTTAATTTGCTGAACTAAGAAAGAGTATAAAGAGTTCGATATGACGCCAAGCGAAATATCAATCACACTACGCTCGTTGGGTTAAGACGTAAAGAGTATCGGGAATATTCGTCTAGACATGTGGTTATCGTGACGACTCGTATACGTAACGGCTAATACAATTACGACTAGTATGATCGTTAATCACATAAGCCCATCATGAAGCGATGCTGAGAAGAACAGCCCATCGCGTTCACACCTTTGCAACAGCATGATGAGGACGATTTTGAAAAACTTTATCACACAGAGCTTTGGGGTGCCAAATGTACAAGACGAACGTAGGAAAATATTCTACCAGTCCAGCGTCTACCAGTCCAGCGGCTAGTTTGTCGTTTTGTGAAGGGAAAGTATCAAGTAAAAGGACACTGTGGCTTGCAAATATTTGCAGGAAAACGAAAGAAGGTGCTTATTATTATGTTAATTAGAGCTATTGAGACTACGATTTATTTGCCTTACTAACGTCTCATTTTTTGTACTAATTCTATGACCCAAATACCCAAGATGATGAGAAAATTGTTATCAAATATGTTGAAAGGTACTGCGAGGATGCTCATAGGCTTTGCGCCAGTGAAAACCTGGCTCCACAGCTGCTCTATGTAGGTCCAAGGATGCCTGGAGGATACCAAATGATCACAATGGAATACATTGAGGGTACCATGCTACACAACTTTTCCAAATGTGATCCAGCCAGTATCTATGAAGATTTAGAGAAAGCTATAACACAGGTGCTTCATCCTCAGGAACTAGTCTTTGCAGACCTCCGACCACCAAACATCCTGGTTGTCCCCAGGATGGCAAGCATCGAGTAATGCTCATTGATTTTGATTGGTGTGGAAAAGATGGCACAGACACTTATCCAAGCTCAATGAACATGTGCTCAGATTACTTGGCCTGAAAGAGTGATACCTGGTGTTGTCCTCAAGAAGGAAGATGACAAGTTTATAAATTGAAGTATGCTCTTAACCTGTAATTGTATCTCTCCTTTCATATTCAGCAGATCTTCATGCATAAAAGAAAGATGTAAAGTGAAAGCAGGAAGTGCAAACTAAAAAAAAGACGTTGAGCCACATAACATTATGTTACATGATGAATATGCTAGTCCCAACAGTATTAGCTAGACATTATACTGTACATATCCACACTTGAACTGATAGAATATTCTTACTATAATAAAAAGACATTACTGTGTCAGAAGGGAATCAATTTTTGTCTGCTTGCTGACACAGTAATATGTTTCTTTATTATTATTATGCTATAGCTAGTGTTAATTTTTTTTTGTTCATATTACTGTACAGCTTATTATTCGACTAAGCTGTTGTAAGACCCATCATTATGCGACGTCATTCCGCCTTGCCTGCTGCACTTCGTGCACTGGGGGGGGGGGGTCTAATAAATGCATGTGGTAATCTGCAATATGAATTTGAGATGTATTGATAGTAGTAGCGTTTTGACATTTAGCTTTAGTAATTCTAATAGTTTTTCCTGGGTTGCAACAGAAACTACAATCGATTAAAATTTTAATCAATGCAATTGTCAAAATTAATGCTCTAGATTGTACATGAATTATAAAATTATTATATAGGATTACCCGTATATGAAAATTTATAATTATAACGGTTCTAGAGAATATAAAAAAGCCATGCGTTTCTTGGAGATAGGTTGCAATTGTGGTTGCTCGAAAATGATTCCGAGAGAAAGGTTTGCCGAATTACGTGAAGCGTTTCAAGCTCTCTCTAGATCCGAACAAGATATATTTGTAATGGCCCAGCTGAAAGCAATGAATGGTGGAGAAATAACTGCCAGCCGGCGTCTTAAAAAGAAAACGCGTATTAATAGGAGAACTTTTTATTATTGAGATCGATCGCAATACGCCTCTTTGTCAGAAAATGTATCTTAATATGTTAATTCTCGTTGGTCGACATCTCCGCGGCGTAAAATCGTCAATTAGATAATAATAAACCCACGTGCCACACACTCTACTTCGCCGTTTTATGACGCATGTCACTTTACTTGCTGTCGATGGAACGAAGTGTATTAATGAACGTGCATACAACAAGGGTACATTGTTATTTATAAAGATGACCAGGCTTAGGGAAACCATGCTCAAATAAAAGCTCTTTTGTGTAACTATTGTAAAAGAAAAGTTTATTGATCTTTGAAAATCGCATGGAGCTCGAAGAGTATACTGATTGAGATAATGATTCAGCGTGTGGGAAAGGAGAGAGAGAGTGGGAGAGTAAGAAGGATGGAAGAGGAGAGAAACACTAATTACTGAAAGTGCGATTGAAGATTCGACCCCGTCATATCCAAATAGCCTGATTATGATGTTCGTCAATTGGGTGAACCGAAATCGCATCCAGATTGTGGCATGGCTGCAGATTGGAGAGACCGCCGGAGGTGTGAGGGATGGGTCTGGGATGTGGGAGCTACATTGTTTTGCTCATCACACACGTTGATCAACACACTAGCAATGTTGCAATACTTCGGAAATGGTTTACTACTACGGTCTGCGGCTTTACAATTAGTAAGCCTATTAGTTCTACCTATACATTCGACAGTAGTGAGTCGGGAGTAACGACTTCTAAATTCGTAAAATGCGGTCTATGAAAAAAAGAGGTTACTAATGCAAGTTCAGATAGCCATGCTGGATCAATCATTGTCAAACACGCGCATAAATGCTTTCGTAGCCTCGACAACAATTTACATTAGAAAGAAGAAAGCCCGTGGCAGTTCCTCAGACACGTACCTTCGTGGAAAATAACATATGGTGCGTTTCTCGTAAACAGTACGGATATTCGTAAACTTGACTAACTCCAAATGATAAACTTCTTACATCGTTATCTTCTGGCATCATTTTTGCAAGCATTGGCAAAGTCTGATAAGACATTTTCTTATTTTCACCCACATGATTCAAAAGGAATATTGAATCCTTTAAGAAATTTCAACAGTTGAGATCTTATAGGAAAAATGCTCCAGACGAAAGCACGAAAGTTCGGGAAATAATCATGGCACCAGCGGGCTGATTGCTGACCGTGCGTATAAACTGTCAACATGGGAAAGTGAATGGTTAGATGTCGAGGCAAGCAAAATCTAAACAGTACCGGTTACAACAGTTAAATGATTGTTTACTGCTGAAAAATACATAACATAAATTGATTCTTTTATGACAATATTCGCCATTTTCTCAGTAAACAAAAACAAACAAGAAAAATGTATAAAATATCTCTTTAAATTACCAATTGCCATATCTTCTACATTACTTTTTCTTGAAAAAAGTAAAAAAATACCCGCTTCCCTTTCCGTCATTGCTTACATTATCCAACAAGCTGTAGAATCTATAAATGAGAACAACATACAAAAAGGTCTCGCATACTGTCGCCTACCCGACGATAACTCCCAACTGATACAATTTACGTATTGTTCCTGAAAAAGACGAAAACGAATCTTCGACGGGGCCGCTGACCGTACGCATTCAAGAAGAATGTTCTTAAATAATTCTCTTATAAAAAAAGGTATTTGCAATGAAACTATTGGCGTTATCACTGATTTTGATGCTCGAGACAAGTGGCAATTTGTGTACAGAATGCAATAGTTCACTGTTGGATACGACAACACACCTCCTACTTTTATGCTGCAGGGCAAAAAGCTACTCGAACTCAGCTTCCTCTACAGAAATCATTCGCTCTAACGATACCTAAAACTCAAGGTCTTACATTACAAAAAATAACTGTATCACTGATCATCACATATTCTCTCCAGGTCAAGCTTACGTTGCAATTAGCTGGTGTCCGACTTGGGAAAACCTCAACATCGGCGCGTTAAACAGAACTGCTTTCACAACCGATTCAAATGTAGTAAAAGAATATGAAAGACTACAACGTGTTGCTCAACAACTTTCAATAACTTCCCCATTTTAACCCGCATATCAAAAATAAAACTAACTACTGCACATTAGAATTACTTAACATATTAACTATAACCTGCCCGGTCAACGCGGACTTCAATACTACACTAGTTATTTACTCATAATGGTAAAGATTGTCGAAATTATAACGAAGTTTATTATAATATAGTGAAGTTTATTATAATACAGTATAGTTCGTTATTATTATAATGTAGTGAAGTTTGTTATCGAAAAACTTCGTTATATTCTTATCAGTTGACAGATTTAAAACTTTGTTATATTGGTACAAAGAGTGGTACTATTAACATGTCAATTTTTCTATAGACAAGTGGCGACTACCCAAATACTCACTTTCTCGTCAAGCTTCTTCTTCTTTGAGTATTGTGGGAATCTCCTCGATGACAATTACATGCCTATATCTTATCTCACAATGCTGATTATGAATCGGATAATGTAAATATGTGCACCCAAACAAAGCTCGCAGTAATAACAAAGAGTTGTTCTTGTTGGTATATTAATACCAAACATAAGACATTTCACTCCAATATGCTTAAAGGTTTGGTTAAAATGTAAGCTAATTCTCCCAATATGATTGCCGTTTATAGTTCGTTAATTTCTTCGTATAATACGCGTAGTTTGGTAACGGTGATTGAAAAACGCGGATTGATTTTATAAAAAACAAATTAACCAAAAAGAGTCAAAACTTATTTTTAATTATCAAGAATTATTCTCAAATCAGAAAGTTTATGTTGTGATTTCAGCTAGTACTAAATTTAACTCAACGAAATTTCTGACATCAAGATGTAATCACTTTAGATTTTGCACACAAGCACAAAATGCTAATGTCGAATATTTGGCGATATATAATGCCATCGGATGATGAACACACATTCTAGCTCACTACCCAGCATACGTGGTTAGCGAAACTGCTGGCTGTTTGGCAGCATTAACATTCAAACATTTTAACTAGCTTTAGCACATTCGAACATTGTACTTTTCTATCGCAGTCATTTGTCGTACAACAATGTACCCCATAAAGACTCATTTTTAAGCCTATAGCATTTTCCACTCTCAAAATCTACCGAATATGATAACTGTAGTGCATTCTGGAAGATTTGTTCTGGGGGGGAAGCAAGACGACAGTAGTTGCTGACCCACTCGAAACACCTTGCTTTAACCTATTTTCCAATTAGTCACTGAGAATCGCCAACATAAGATGTGCCTTTTGCTAATAATTATCAGATTACACGGTGTATTCTAAACTTATTGCAATCATACTGATATTAATATTTAATATGTTAATGTGTTCATTAGATTAGGAATCGGGAAATGTGATGTGATTGCTTGACATGAGATTCGATTTTAACATGAGCAAGCCGAACTTATGTCATGCTTAAGAGAGGCATGCCCGGTTCTGAACCTCATGTTACAAGTCTCTTTGTATTGCATAGAAAGCGTACTATTATTACTAGTATATGACACTGTGCTAGTAAGCGTGAAAATTTTAAGAGTATAGGCTATATTATATTTCCGACTTTTTGATCTAATAATACCAATACTTTCCCCTTCAATGGATATAGCCTAGTCATGCTGTCACCATAAAAAGGTAAGCGCTAATACTAACTTCACACCAAGTTTGAAGGGTCACATGGATACATTAATAAGAATAAGGATAGATTGGTCTCAAATTAGTGAAAGTCTTTGTATATATTAAAAAGTCGATAATAAAATGTTGCTACCAGTATTTGGTAAGTTTTTCCTGAATTTGGAATTCATTCCTGCATATTAAAATAGAAATATATTTCACAAATATTCGCCAGAAAAGTTCATTGTCAAATAATACAGCTTGTGTAACTTTATTTATTGGGAAATGAAAATATCGGAACTTCCCGTGATAACCAGATGGTAGTCGGAAAATAAACCTTATCGATATCGAAAAAAATTGTTAGCCTTAGTATTAATATATTAAGCCTTACATTAACATTCCTGTAAGCAAAGTGGAGGCATCACGCAAGCTCTAAAAGTAGCAGACTTTATAGCAAGTAGCGGCAGACTATGCATAGAGATGTGATGATCGGGAGATGGATGAGATCTGACATTTTAACGACCTTCGTGAATAAGGAAGGATTCACCCGTCGGGTTCCAAATTAGACTTGCTTTACAGTTTATACTGTATTCGAATGATACGCGCACGACATGCCGAGTCGAGTATCTGCTGAAACCATGAGGAACGAGAGAGACTTTTTCTCAAATTTGAATAAGTGAAAAGAACTATTATATTACTGGTTGTTCAAGTAGCACTATCAGTAATTAAACAAACATAATACAGGGTGAACAGTGGCGTTTTATAATTTTGAACCACTGAAATTTTGTGTTCACTTTACTATTTTTTTCTTTTTTTTTTTGGGCTATGCAATTTATACAACTCATCCCGCGTCCCAAAATCATTCATCCCAGAAAATTTTGACACGTTCTGTGTGACATCTCCATCGATGATCCGACACCCCTCTTTCCTTGCGGAACAAATCAGTCCAATCACATTTACAATCAGTATTACTCAATCATGCAAATGAGGGTTTAACCCCTATTTTTTTCGAAAAAAAATTTTTTCCCCTTGTTTGGGGGTACTTTGACATCGATTATAACACACTAGATGATCCCTTCTTTCCTTGCCCTTTCATTAATTGTGCTCTCAGCTTACCACCACTCGACCAGAAACCCATCTCTTTTATTCTCCTCCCCACTCTACATAAGTCGTCATGTCAAAAGACGCTAAGCATTCTTCCTTCGCGGTTGATTTCCTTATGGGCGGTGTGTCCGCTGCAGTATCAAAGACTGCCGCCGCGCCCATCGAGCGTGTCAAACTGCTTATTCAGAATCAAGATGAGATGATCAAGGCTGGCCGTCTTAGTGAACCATACAAGGGCATTGGTGATTGCTTCAGAAGAACAGTACACCAAGAAGGCTTTATCGCCCTCTGGCGTGGTAATACCGCTAATGTCATCAGATATTTCCCTACTCAGGCACTCAACTTTGCTTTCAAGGATAAATTTAAGCGAATGTTCAATTTTAAGAAGGAAAAAGACGGATACGCAAAAGTGTTTTTGGGAAATATTGCTTCCGGTGGTGCAGCTGGTGCTGTATCTTTGACCTTTGTGTATTCTCTCGATTATGCACGTACTCGTCTTGCAAATGATGCTAAGGCTGCCAAGAAGGGTGGTGAACGTCAATTCAATGGATTGGTTGATGTCTACCGTAAGACCCTGAAATCTGATGGCATTGTTGGGCTTTACAGAGGTATATACGATACGATTGATCATTTTATATCAAATCCCAAATGAAAAATTTTCCCTTTGATATTATTCACGTGACTTATCTGATTTATACTTTTTTTTTTTTTGCAGGATTCAATATTTCTTGTGTTGGTATTATAATTTACAGAGGTAATTTGACATTCATCAAATGACAATTGGTGCTTTATCATCTCGAGATGGGGGACAAATGACTAACTACTGCTTTCTACTTAATCGTTTGGTATAGGATTGTACTTTGGGATGTTTGATTCATTGAAACCCATCGTGCTTCGAGGTCAATTCAAGGATAGTTTCCTTGCAAGGTAACAATACTGATTATTTGATAGTTATTCCATCAGTTATGAACATGTGTTTGTCATCACCTTTGCTGTTACTTTACTGACAAAATCGCTTCATCCCTTCTTCGTTATCCAATAGTTTCGCTCTTGGTTGGGGTATTACTATCGGTGCTGGCCTTGCTTCATACCCTATCGATACGGTTAGACGTCGTATGATGATGACATCTGGTGAAGCAGTCAAGTACAAAAGTTCGATGCACGCATTCGCCGAAATTATCCGTAACGAGGGTGTTAAATCTCTCTTCAAGGGTGCTGGTGCTAATATCCTTCGTGCCGTCGCTGGTGCTGGTGTGTTGGCCGGTTACGATAAACTCCAAGTCATCTTCTTTGGCAAGGCTTATAAGGGTGGTTCAGGATAGAAAAATAAAAATGTTTCACTTCTAGATAGAAGACGTGTGACAAAGAAATGTCATAATATGTAAGCGAATATTATTTATATTAGGAGGGAGATGTTAATGTTTTAGAAGTGATATACATTTTGTATATTGATTGAGGTGATGAATAGAAGTAGATGAGAATTTCTGTATCGAATGAGTAATAGAAAAGCGTGACATTGTCACTTCTCGCCTTAAATCATTAAAAAACCCTCGAATATTTGAATTAAAATATCTGAGAAGCGAACAATAGCAATTTTCCGCATATTCACGCTACATGGATTATATAGCTTTGCTTATTATAATCTTAAATTACTTCGTATCCAACTGTCCCAACTGGGCCAATCCCAACATTGCTATTTCTGTAATCGTCACCATCCACCAAATGTGCTGAAACATCTTTTTGCTCATTTGACATTTCTGGGTGGGTTGCGTGGACGGCAGGTAATTTATACTTTATTTCAATTCTGAAAATACCCTTTAAAACCGTGTTTCCCATGAATATTATCGGTTTTAGGCCCTTTCCAACAATAGTTCTATTCTCTATGCAGAGAAATAAGAAATGTGTCCAAGTTAGTCTTGAGTTTAGTAAAGTTAATATAAAACATATAGAAGTTCTTTGGTTAAGTTAATAAAGCATACTATAGCATCTATGACAACAAACCTTTTGTAATCGAGAATACTCAACCAGAAATAGTTGGGAAGAAAATGTATACACTAGAAACACCATATCAGAGGCTATATATATAAATATATCTATTATTGTTGGAAAGTAGTGACGAAAAAAAAAATAAAAATTCCATCGCTTTCACTGTTCTTACGGTCTCTTCTTTCACTGTTCTCTGTTCCTGCCGTTACGCAGCACTTTGTAGTATCCAAAGCATCGACTGATATTGTACTATCTTCAATCATACAACGCTCAGACTATAACGGGGAAACATTAGATATTCAGAATTTAATAATATATGAACGGAATACTATATCTGCAGAGCAGGACATAATTGTATATTACTCGTGATCAATCATGGATTACAACAGTGAAGCTAATCGATACAATATGGAGATGGACGATAATGAGAATGTAGATAATATGGAAGAAGAAAATCAAACGTCAAGAGATAGGGGTCTAGATGAAGAGGGGTTTGAGGATGATGACTCTGATGAGGAAGAGTCCGTGGGATTAGACTATGAAGAGGGAAACAATGACATTAATATAGATGAGAGTGATGGGGATGAAGATGGGAATGAGGATAATGAGGAAGAAGAAGAAGAAGATGATGATGAAGATAATGATGAAGACGATGACGACGACGACGATGACGATGACGATGACGACGACGACGATGATGATGACGACGACGACGACGGCGATGAGGATGATAATGATGAAACAGAAGAAGTAGTTGTAACAGCACGAGAAAATAATAATGATGATGTTGATGAAGATGAGGATGAAGACGAGGATCATGAAGATGATTCGGATGATGATGAAGAAGAAGAGGACGAAGAGGAAGAGGAAGAAGATGATGAGGAGGATGAGGATGAAGAAGAAGAAGAAGACGACGAAATTAGTATTAAAGCTATCGGTTCGAATAATTCGAATGACAAAGGTCAATTTAAGAACAGTACTCAGAATATGGACGATACTTTGCAAAACGATGAGCAGGTGGATTTTTTCGTTAGGTTGTTAATATTAAGTACCAATATATACTAAACCGATTTCATACGATTTTATAGCTTCTTATAAAATCTGAAGAGAAATACGAATACAATCAGCGTCCTTCATATATTAGCTCCACCAATAAATTACGTAAAGACACTGAATCACTTGGGGCGACGCAAAAGTCTGTCAAGACAGAAGCCGAGTATGTTTCAACGCAGCAACAGCAATCTTCACAACAAACTATAACTGATAATGATGGTGATGATGGTGAACAAATAACTCAATTGGAATTGTCAGGACTTAACGTATTGGTTATCAGAAAGAAAGATCAAATTGTCTATAAATTACCCGGAGAAATGTCTGTGCAGTCACTAGATGAAAATACGCGAAACGCTTTAATTCAACGAATACAATCATTACATGAGCGGAATTCTGTAGTCGCAAGTCCGGCTGTGTCATCGACACTTCGACATGCATCATCAGGCGCATCTGACGGGATCCTTGCTAGCGGAGTTGCCACTTCCACTACTCAATCATCCTCATCCTCATTCTCATCAATATTACCCAATAGACAATCGACACAGACGACCCAACCATCGATCCAGTCGCCGTCTGGCTCTGCTAGGCCGCGGGACATGCCGAAAACATATACACCACTTGCGATTAGACAACAGACAGCAGCCCAGACCTCGACGACGCCGTCGCCGACGTTTCAGTCTACACCAACCGGTTCATCTGATGGTACAAGCATGCCAACACCATCGATGGGAATATCTTCGACCACACAACTAAATGCGGGTTCGATACCATCCTCCTCTCATGTACAACAACGAGCTTCATATCAACCTCAATTACAGCCAGATGGGACAATGAAGACTACGCGTAAATACAATAAGACAGGAAAATATTCTAAAAAGCGTGCATTGCAGCAGTCAGAGGATAACCGACACGTAACGTCTATAGGGAACAAGTATCTTCAGGGTCCAATGTACAATAATTACTATCAAAATAATGTGCAGTCTACTATTGTGGGAACAGCTTATAATTATGATCCTACGCGATCAGTCGCTTATCAAACAGCGAGTGTTGGACGATCGCCTGAAGAGATAATCCACCATCTGGAAGTCAAGCAAAGGTATGTAATAAAAACACAATGTATTCAACATGGTGTATATGACACACAGAAACTGATATCGAAGACTGCCTTATTATGTTTGGTAGATTCGAGACAGCCCTATCATATGATCAGATAGCTATTTACCAACCAGACGTGAAGCCATTTCACTCCATGGAAGACGCCATCAGACGGCTGTTACCGTATCATATATTTCAGTATCCAGATGAAGATTTAGAATCTAATGAAAAAATGTCTGATTTGGATGGTAATCGATGCACTTTATAATTGCCTTTGTTTGGAGACTGGTAGGAATTTTTTTTGTTTGCGTATTAACTTTTGTCTATTTTCAAGCGAATAAATCAGCATTTGCAGCATTGAAAAGACGTAAAAGCATATACGACAAATACGCACAGTTGCTTAAACAGGAGGCTGAAGTATGTAGACTTTGAAGTTTTTTATGCCATATTCGTTTATCATGTACATTAATGACATTCGTACAATCTTCAGAGTTCTTGTCTCTCGCATAGTGTAAATCTATGTGAACGTCTAATATTAGAGGATGAAAAGAGTGAAAATGTTGCATTACAACGGGAATTGGACCGTCTACGAGCTCAAAAGAACGAATTGGATAGAATAGGTACATTACAAAAACAGCGCACTGAGCAGCAGTTGCAACAACATCAGCAGCAACAGCAACAACAAACGCTACAGCAGTATTTCCAACAACAACAACAGCGATCCCAAACGGGGCAGTATAGCTGGTTACATCAACAAGATCGAAATACTGCCAATCTATTTCCGAGGGTACATGCTGCTGTTGCGGCAGCCGCTGCTGCCGGCCAGAGCTTCCCAACATCGGCAAAGGTAGCTACAGCAACGGCGGCGGCGGCAGCGGCAGCAGCAGTCTTGACGACAGGAGGGAGTGGGATAGCAAAGGATAGTGCCGGTATCAGCAATCAGAATGGAGGACAACAATCAACTGCCACGATGTCTTTGAATCAGAACATTTCTGAACAACAACAGCAGAAACAATCGCAACCCACAACGAGGAAATGAACTCTTTCTGATAGCGCATTGTTGTAATAAACGGTCACATATTTAACGTTCGGAGTCGTCGTCATACTCAAGTGATGCTTATATAAATTGTTACGACATTGTTTCTGGTCTAATTAGTATGATTTAGTCATTTTTATTACGATCAGTTGGATGCTGTTTAGATGGATCCGGTGGTTTTGATCTATCTATTTCCAGGTGTAAAGAAGAGTTAGTTTGATATCGAATGCAATAGATCGTAATGCAGATTATGTAAGATGATTTCTATTCACCCTTGTATCGCGGTTGTCGTTCATAGGCATTCGGACGCTTTTCTAATCGACTAGCGTGTTTTCCTTTGCTTTGCCCATTATGACAGTGATGCTGTTTCATATCATCATGACAATGGTCGTGGTCTGATTCGCTATCAGTACCACTACTGTCCGAATCATCTGAAGATTCCCCAAACACACGAGGCCTGTGATATATGCAGCAAACTACATGACGGGGAAACAGTATGGTTTGAGCCGTCGCTGTACATAGTCATACAAAAGAAGCTTTGGATAATGCTTACTTTTTGATTTTTTTTTGTTCGCGCCTTCATTGTCAATCACATTCTCGTCCCATTTTACTTTTCTCTCTTGTGCAAGATTGCCACCCCGTAGGATTAGTGTGCCAGCAGAACTTTCCGCGTTGACCGAATCTTGTCCGGTATCTGCAAGAGTGAAACCAGATGAAACAAATGCAAAAGGCAGTGGTTTTGCATTGTCAATTTACTGTTTCAAGTGAAATAAACATTACGATACCTTCTAGATCTGTTTGTACTAGAGTAATCGTCCGTGTCCCGTTGCAGGTTCTTGAAAGACCGGCTGACGAGTAGTACGGTAATTTAGTCACCTGTGTGATCGCAAGGAAATAAGCGCAGAAATTTTTAACATTCTTTCCAACTTGAAACTACAAACCTGCTGCCATTTTGTAAGTTAAATAATAATATGTGTTGGATAGAGTGATTAATGTTTGTTATTAATATTGAAAGCCCTACTACTAACGCTAAGGTTGGTCACACACATTCGGCACGTGCATTCCCCACAGACTTTTTTGATCGTTAGACAGTAGATTTTTACACATACAGAAAGAGCATGTCAGAATACAAAGCTGTCTCTAGTAGATTAAGCTTTAGAGGCGAAAAGAGCTCCAGGTAAGTGTCTATTAAATGTTGGTTTGGAAAGTACCAACTATTAAATGGCTCTTCTTTTTTTTTCGTTTAAGAAAAAAGAAGAAACGAAAGGTTGAAGAAGCAATAGAAGAAGGAGGACAGCAAGATGGTATGCGTAATTGTAGTAGTCTGTGTTTCCCTATTATAGTCGCTCATTGCATTTAATACTTTGGCGTATAGGTTGGGTTTTTGCAACCTCAGTGGAAGATCTAGTCGGGCCCATATTTATAATATTTAATAACGAAACCCTAGCATGTCTACAATCTTCTGATAATGATAGTTCCATAACTGTTCATAATATTTCTCCCACCGAACAATTGTCAACCGTTGAGCCTGACGAAGTTAACTGCGTTTTTGTTGGAGCCCGCGTCGTGGGTTCCAACGAGCGCATTACACTAAAAACTTACAAGAACAAATATATATCTACCGACAAATTTGGCGTCATAACGGCTGAACATGAAGCCATTGGCCCACAAGAAGAGTGGTTGCCCATAGTACGGGACGATGGTATTGCATTCCAAAGTATATACGACAAATTCTTGAGTATTGACGAGATTGCGGGTGGCGGATACAAAATTCGGGCGGATGTAGAGACTATTGGATTTTGCGAGACGTTTAGAGTCAAATGCCAGGCGAGGTTTAGGAAGAAACAAAAAGTCACGAAAAAAGAGGATAGAGCAGTCTCTGAGGTTGAGGTTGAGCAGATGTGAGTGAACGAGATATATGATCCTAATCTTTTGGTTTTTTTTTTACGATAACTAAGAATCAATTTGACGGTTATAGCAAAAAGTATCAGACTTGGGGCGGTGGTAGGATAAGAACATCTGAAGAGGATGTGAATAAGCTGAGGAGGGCAAAGAAAGAAGGAAAATTTAGTGAAGCGTAAGTTTATTTCAAAGGTTGTGTTTTCATTCCCCCAAGCTACTGTCTGATGTTGTCTATTTATTTTTTTTAGACTGCTTGATCGTCGAGAGAAAGTCAAGGCGGACCGATATTGTAAATAGATTTACAGCAAAAGCATTGGGGCATTTATAATATCGATTGGGTTAATAGACGCTAAAGATAGAATGATAAAGCGGCAATGAAATGTAAAATATCAGCGAGGCGAGAACGTATTAGATGGTAATTACTTTGCAGAAATGCGACAATGAATCAATATGATAATAGGCGACAGTTTGTGTCTAATGTGAAATCTGATCACAAAAGGATAATGTTCTGAACTTGGGACCGGGTCTGAACGTGTCTGACGACAGGCTAGCCAACAAGCCCCTTTTTTCGCGATTAGTCTAAGGATAAATTCTATTGATATTGGCTTTGTGCTTCAAAGCCAGTGGAGAGTGATGCGACGAATTGTGTAATGGAGCTTGTGACGATTGTTCTCGCAGGAGAATTGGTTGCTACAGTAGAACTATTACAAACAAATAATTGGAATGCTCTTCAGAATTGGTGAAAAGCTCACGATTCCAAAAGAGACTAGCGTTCTCATCGTCATTGTTATACCTCCTGTCGATATTCAAATAAAAGCTCGGAGACATGGAAACCGATATCCGAAACATTGATGCATTCGTTCATTTTTAGATGTTCTTTGCTGCTTCAGTCTCTTAACCTGTCAGCTATAGCTTCAACTGTTGCAATAATGGTTAATATAGACTCGAAACGTCTTGTTGTCCTCTGCCAGTTCAACAAGTAATTCCATCTCGATGCTTGGAACAGTCTCTCAATAATTGGTTTATCGAAGGATATGGAATAACAAATAATGATAGAATTAGACTTATATAGTATGTAATACCATTTTATGAATAATAAGGAGTTCTTAAATGCAGACCACCTCATCGATCAATATCCATGTAATGAGTGATATTTCTTCTGAATTAAAATTCCTTTTTCTAATGCAATTCTTCAGTTGTGCTTGAATATTTCTACCACGGCAGAAAGGCATTTCCTACTAGATTTTCTGAATATCACATTTTCAAGTACTATTTTATTTTATTCACTGATTTAGACATTTCGACGGCATTAAGATCTTGTAGATTCATTGTCTACAAAGTGCATGCAACAATCCTTTGGAACTTCTCTTTAGATAATTTATGCAATTGTATTTGTAAGCACGTATGTTATAGTGCATGTAGCGGAACAAGGATGCAGTTTACACAGAAAAATCGTCGGAAATATCTGCAATTACATGATTTAGTAAGTTTGACTTATGATTTTGCTTTTTTTGGCTACAAACCATACAAGAAGCTGATGAATACATTGTACTTGAGTGATACGCGAAGGCACAATAATAAAATGTTCTTTATCGGCAGATAGATGTAATTTAGATATACAAAAAAGGCGATACAAAAAGGTATCTATGGGACTGCCAATTCAGCCGACATCCGTAACTTGGGACTGCTAATACTAATGGTAGATCATCATTCATCATTCGGGACACGAATTATGTAACTAGCACGACAATTCACGAATCAGTAATCGAACGTCACAGTGTCAGTTACGCATGTATCTTTATTATGGTTCACTTAGCACTGTTTTGCAGATTTATTGACAACCATCAAAAAAAACCCCATCATTTAATTGATTCGAAAATCTGTTAATGTCAACGCTCCGCCAAAATGCAATATACACAGTTTGAGAATTCGCTGATGCCGACTTGTCGAATAAAAACATTCGGTTAATAGTATTACCGTATTCCAGTTGCTTCTGTCTCCAGTCATTAAAACAACGTTGGTTAATACCGTGGTTCGATAACTTTCACATGTGTTCAGTATTACGTACTCTATCGGCAATGGGGGGTGTTGGCGATGATATTCTAGTCAGGAAAACCGTAACATTATTACTCTCTTCACGCTCTTGAACCCGGAAACGTGTCAAATATGCACTTATCGGTGATCAGTAGTACAGAAGAAGGAGGAGACTACCCGGGGGGGTTGGGGTTGGTGGAGGGGAGGGGAGTTTGCGTTCCTTGGTTGGTGGAGGGGAGGGGGGACACTATGCTCTCCATAATAATAGTAATTGAATACATCAAAATTCGTGATACCCGTGATTTCGGATATTAACACACGTTTAATGTCCGCCACAGTAACAGGGTGTTTGTTACTATGTTTCGGTTTGTTGCATATCGATATCGATATGGAGAAACAACAAAGGGCGGAATAATTGCACTTTCCAAGTTACAGTCCATTCCCTAATGCCCAAAACAGTTGTTCAAATACGAACAATACTATGGACTATGGGCCCTTTATTAGTAACACCTTCACAATGTATGCACATATAAAGATGACATTGTTATCTCTGTGGCGTGAAAAGCTTTGATCACTGCTTTCTTTGTGGGGTTCGGATTGGATTACCAAATAACAATAACTGTACACAAATAATATTATGTGAATCAAAGCATAGCATTGAGATGTCCCATTAGCTCTTTATATAGTACATTTTAAATTATCTTCCTTATATTCCAGATATTGTTCATCAGTACATACAAGTCGCATATAGTTACATTTAATGTCACAGTTTGCCAAGCAATCAATAGGCATGTCCGTTTTGGTACAGCTGATCTCATCCAGTCACTTTCCATATTAAGAAGAAGAAGTTTCTTACTAAACAAGGGAGCAGAAAGACAGCTCAGGAGCAATACAATTATTTTTCACTTCTACCTTCAACGTACATTTAGCAAGCTTGACTTGGTAAACGAAAACAAAAAAAAAAAAGGGAAAAGAAAATTCCTCTCCCCTCTTCCCCTCTCTCACAAACAACCTTTTAGAAAAAACGACATCTTGAACCATTAGATATGAAGTTCAACCAGTTCCGTGAGAGACTGGTATGTTTCTAATATTTTCGATACTTACATATCTTGGAAGAGAGAAAAAAAAACTAAACCGTCTTGCCTCTATATACCCACAGTACAACCGAGTGACAGAATCACGATGGACTATGCTGTATATCATTGTTGCAGCACTACAAATGATAATTGCCGTGGGTTTAGAAGCAGCAGTGTTTCGTCTTAACTCGAATATAGCAGATGACATAGAAAGCGCAAAGAATATCACGGACAAGAATCCACAATTTTTTCCATCATTACCAGATACAAACTACAACTATGATAAATACCTTCAGCAATTTGAATCAATAACACACAGTAACATATGGTTTATGGTCTTTCAAGCCTTTGTATTTTTATTATCACTTATTGGGGTAAGTATTATTCTCGTCGTTCAGATACTCAAATACTTCAATTGCATTGTGAATGACACATAAACTCACAGTATTTCAATGTCTTTGTTTGCACTAGTTATCCTCTCAAGTAAGTACCATGTTCCAATTACTCACAAAAAAATACATTATCATAACGTGTCTGTTTACTTTTGTTATCATTGACAAATTCTCTCGCTCACCTCATTGTTTCTCGCTTCACCCTCCCTTATCGCCCAAATAGAACACAATCGAGATCATCGTAATAGGGATTATCAATATACTTCTTCTACTCTTTGCCCTAATTCAAATATTTCAAAGCACTAAATGGATAAACCGTGTAAACGGACAACTCGATCAAGACCGGTTGGTTTCACCTACTTTTAAGTTCCCTGACAAGATCCCCAAGACTGTTATTAGTTTCGAAGTTGTTTTGGTATTGGTCTTACTTGTCTTCGCCGCTGCGTCTGTGTATCTTGGATATCGGTTGTATCGACAATTTGGATGGAACATTTATAAAAAAATTGGAGCCAACATTCAGATGCAGAGTAAGTGAAAAAAAAAAAAAAAGAAGAAAAAAAAAAAGAAGAGAAAACATGATATTACGATGATCAGTTGTTATCGACTCGTAAACTAATCCTTTTTACCAAAAATCTTTTTCTTTCCTTCTCCCCTCTCCTTCCTGATATCTCTAGAAATGTATCGTGTATACCTGTGTAAGTACACAACCATTACGACATTATTTTCTTAATGAACAGTATTTTGTAAATATTTTACATCTTTCCTAACAATTCATCGCCTTGCAACCGGCGTCTCTCATTTCTGTTTACAGTATTCATAATGCTGCTGAAGTTGATGTTCTTGCTGCTTATGAGTTTCCAAATCCTTAATCTGGTCTTCTTATTCCAAAACAAAAATATCAAAGACGATGATACTAGCAATACTCCAACTATCATATTCCAAATAGTAATGGTTTCCATTATTATCCCTATGGTGGCGATAGCATGGTGGGGAGTAAGTACAAGCGACAATGTGAAGGGGTTGTAAAGATTAGTAATGAATTGGATTAGTTATCTCGTATAGTTTTCAATGAATTAACCGGAACTTTGTATTCATAGGTACGGCGGGAAAACATATTGGCAATGTTCGTCTTTGCACTAATAGCTCTCACGACCATTGTTTACTTCATCTATGTTCTCGCTAGATTTATCATTAGTAGAGACGAAAATATACTAACCTTATTGGTAAGGCGCTTAACCTCGGGAGTTGAGACAAAGTTTGGTCTATTTTTTTATGATATTAAATTTAATTATTAATTACTCTTTACAGGACATATTAGGAATAGCACTATGTATAGCATCTATGTCAGTTGCATACATGGCAGTTCGTAATTTCGGTAAATGTCGAATGAATGGATGGATGAATGAATTTGATGTTTTATTGATAACCAATTAATTCTAACCGCATATTTATTTTCGATTATAAAAAATACACTTGTGTAGACGGAGGATTAAAAGATCTTTGTAAGTACAGTTTTTTGATTCCGTTTACCTCGTTCCATCGACTCTTTTCCGAATACTATATTTATCTTTTTATTCATTATCGTTCTTTACTCTTCTCTCCTATAATATAGTCGACAAAAATAATAGTACGCAAAATCAAAGCCTAGACCTTGGTGGCCTCGAATCAGGACAACCCGGCCGCAAACCCGGCAACATCATAATTGATTAACATTCAACGACAGTTCATGCCTTTTCCTCAAAGTCCTTGTTACTACTAATGACTATCGGATTGGTGTATATTTGGTGCGATATAAGGAGTGTATAGTACATGGTTATGGGCGGGGGTTATTATTTACAATCTCGTTCTTATTCTTATTATAGTCCTTGTTTTATCTCGTGGGAAAGGTTTTGTAAGATCATGTATTCCAGATTTCCTTTCTGTGTTCGAAGTATACCATTTTATTGTATTCGAGAGTTTCATACTCTGTTAATATTATTTTGTCGTTGCATTCTCCTCATTGAGCACGCGACAGATATGATGTTGCGGACTTTTGTTTCTCCTTTCTTGGTTGTCTCTTGTTGTTTCTGTTTATATTACACATACGTTTTTTTGTATTATGAATAGAATTATTGTTGATGTATTGTTACTTTGTTTTGTCTTCTTGTTCCAATTGTCATATTATAATCGTTATGTATTTCTCTAATTATGTTTGCCTCGACATTATCATCCTTAGGATGGTGGATAGTCATGCGGGTTAATGGATACAAAGTGGGAGTTTTTTTAGCATATACTGTTCTTGCTGCTATTTATGGTTTCGTTGTGTGTAGTCCTATTGTTTTTTTGTCGCATAAAAATCTACACTTATTTTAATAACAATTAGAGGTGTGCGGAAATATGAATGTGTGAAGGCTGGTTGTTTGATGGCAAGGCAATCTAGCCGACAGCGCAATCTCAGAGTCGAGTGAACGAGGAATACCTGTGCTATGCGAAGACCATATTTATAGACAATGCTGCACATAACATCTTAATCTGAATAATCTATTTCTGGCTTGGTTATTCTCACGGAAGTAAAACTTGTTGCATTCAGATCTGACGATAATTGAGCGTCTGCAAGCGCTAATCTTCCTGTGAATAACTTCTACGTAGGTGATGGGATATACGAAAAGTTACATATCATACGTGCTAACAATATACTTACGCAATCAAAACTGTGATTATAGAGATTCCTTCGTTCTGCTCCTAAAACTAAACGATACAATAATTCACTGATTGGCAATCGTTTGGAGGAAATCCGGGGTGTTTGCATATGAATCTCAGCAGCAATTGACCGAAGATTTTAATGGTTAGCGTGTATGATTTTAGTTTCTCGGTCCCAACTTCATTGATCCTCGTATGGGGTTTGTCCGATATCGATATATGGCGAAACTGGCTAATTTAGTTACATCTGTTACACGACTAAATTAGCTAACGACAGAACTTGTCACGCACGTTTTTATTTTTCACATGGGTGTCCTAAAGTTAGAATGGGAAGGTCGTTATTGACAAGCATCCTGCTCTTTTAAATTCTCCTATCAAAAGTTTCACGTTCCTCATGGATAATGTATTGGGTCTAAAGTAGGAACTTAAAGGCTATTATCAAAGTGCAAGATTGACACATAAGGCCCACCTCTTCGAGTTTATTAACCCATTATAATCCATATTGTTTGCAAAGCATATTAGAAAAATGACATCTAGAAGAAATGTAATGAAATAGCATAGAAATTTACTTCCCGTAGCCGGGCAGCTTCTTCAAACAATTTGGTTTTTGTTTGTCTTCTCACACCTGACATGAAGAGAAAGTGAGTAAAGATGCTTTATCTTTTTTTTTGCCATGCAATTTGATACACGTATGTAAACTAGCCGCGGACAAATACGCAACCTTTCCTGATACTATACCGTACACATTATTTCATGATGTACTCACCAACAAGCCCGCAACCAGTTCTAGTACTAACAAAGTGGAGGGCACTTATTTTAGGCTTTAGAACTTCCGAAGCGAAGGATTATCCGTCTTCTCCCAAAGTCTATGTATACAAATTTACATCATATAGCTTTACGTTTATAAGGAAAAGGCATATATGTTTACATTACCACGAAATTTGTACGCAGCACAAAAAAGTATCAACGAGCATTGGCCTTGTCAGATTGATACACGTCTCGGGTAATGACCTTGAGATTTAGCGTCTTCAATCGGAACCTTTGACTATCCCCACTATCGATAATAATAAGTCAATTAGTGACCTTTAAAAGTACTCACTATGCGTGATTGTCTTGTACACGCTGTCCCTAACCTCGAGTATTACGTCTACTTCTTTTGACGGGATTAATTTCAAAAGCCTGTAGGTCGGGGAAAGTCTTCTATGCTAAACGCGTTTATAGAAATTAAATGATAATCCTCGTGTCAAAGAATCGATGGCAAGATCGATTTCGTAACTGCTGATTCGGAAAGCGTTTTACATTTTAACCAGCGATTGAGGTAACCACGCCAGGGTAATAACGAAAATTTTTGATATTTATAGCGCTTGATTTATTAGAACTCGAAGAGCTATTCTAATTGACATAAGAACAAATACTGAAATAAAAGAATCGAATATGCTTCTTGGGGAATTTTCCCTAAACTCTGCTTTCGCGTAATTAAAGTGACAGCATATTTTGTTGTCGTGAATTCCTGAGCGAAGGAATACGTCATCATTGTACTTGAAGAGCAGAAAGTGAGTCACTTTAGACAACTCTCTGTGTTATCGCGTCTATGATCGTCAGAGGATTGTTTCCGAGGTTAGTTAGACCGAAAGCTTGCTTATTAAATTGATCATCACATCACCTTTCTCTATTTGGTGACCTTCAACTATGAACGTCGAATTTCTTCTCCCCGAGGCACATCAAAATGACGACGATGATGTAGAAATGCCAGATGTCAGTGATAAGTTTGTTACTCCAGGAGAAACAATCAGTGTCAATGCTCAGTATATGAGGTTTGGAATAGACGCTATTATCATATTCACTTTGTAAGAACTTTAAACATTATATCGTTAAGTAGGAGTCACGGAACATTCTCGGACGAAAAGGACGGGATAATAAAATCGTCTCTTGCAGGAAAAGTCGAGATTGTTAACAAGTTAATCTCCGTGCGCACAGTGCATTCGCGGTAAGCAATGCTCCATAATGGCCACTCTCCGCTTACTCGTAACCTAAAATATGTTAGCCGTTAATAAAGTTATAACGCAGAAATAGGCGACTTGATCGTTGGGCGAATAACAGAGGTAAAAAAAAAAAAAGATAGCGTAATGTTTCTCACACACGTCAAAGGCATGCTGAATTAGAATGGGATTGGGTACTGTAGGTTGCTCAAAAACGATGGAAAGTCGATATCAATTCTAGGCAGGATGCTGTATTGCTCTTATCGGCCATTAACCTCCCTGGGGGCGTTATGGTTAGTTTGCACACTTGTAAGTGCCGCCTGTGAAAGCAGTATCAAGTAGTTTGAAGTATTCATAGATCGATAAACTTCTGAATGCAGAGACGGAAAACAGAGGAAGATGAATTGCAGATGCGTGAATATTTTTCAGATGGAGACATCCTAGCGGTACGAACGGTCATGTTTAATTGGGTTTTTTTTTCGTGCCGCGCATTAGAGGTTAAACCGTTGTTGCTTAGGCGGAAGTTTCGGGAACCTTTCAAGATGGTGCAGCATCTATACAAACAAGAAATCACAAATATGGCAAGGTAAAGCATAACGTGTGAGGGCAGCCTAACCTTTGTTCTTCTTTGCCAGAACAATTTGTCGATCTTTACGTTTTTCGATAAAATTGTCTCTAGCTGAAAAACGGTTCATTTGTGAGCGTTCCTCCATCTCTGGTCCAACGCTGCAAGACACACTTTCATGTTTTGTCGTGCGGTGTCGATGTTGTACTTGGATTGAATGGATATATATGGGTTTGCAAACATACTCCTCCACTTCAAGATGTAGATTTGGAGGCTATCTATTCGAATGAGAATGAGGTCAGTACCTATGCGTCGAAACGTCCAGACCTTTTATTGAAACCCTTTTGTAACCTTAAATTTTGAACGTGTAGCCGATCAGCGATACAACAAGAGAATCAATAGCTCGGGTATGCAATTGTATCACTTCCCTCGCTCGAAAGTTCATGATCATTAATGATTCTAGTATTACTCTCGCATACGAAGCATCATTTGAGACGCAGAATGTTGATTAGACTCTGCAGTAAATGGAAATAAGATATAATAGATTACGCATTTGAAATGACGGTTGATGAACGGAATGCTCATATGATTGTGCCAAAGAATTGATTTTTTTCAACTGTCAAGTCCCAAATTTAATTGACCAGTTGAGTATGTACCTATACTCAACAGACTAAGAAGCAAGTATGGGCTGAAGAATTTGATACTTTCCCGATAAACGGAAATTTCAAGACACAAAGTTTTTAATGTATATTTTCGCGTTTCAAGATAAAATCATTTCTTAGCTAATATCAGGAGTGGTGCAATGCAAACAGAACGTACAGTATATCATATTGGGTGTTTGGCCTATTTACTAATTTTAATAGTGTCTTACTTTGAAAATATTCTATCCATTTGATTTAATAACATACGCAACGTGATACTGTTTGGCAGCGTTCTATAAGGAAACGCAATGCTATAAAATAAAATATTTGTTGTTGAAAATATCGAATGCCTGTCAATCTATATGAATGTTCGATTCAAATCATTAATACTTGCAGATGCATTTATCCAGCTTACGGGTAATTTATCTTAATACACATTCTCTCCATTTATATATTTTCCGCTAGAATGGATTCTAGGCTTATCCAAATAATAAGCCTGTTTCAGTAAAATAATTTCCTTCCGCCCGTCCCAATCAAATAAACTTCTTCAGCCAGTCCCCAAAAATATTTCCCAAATAGCCCCTGGCTCTATATAATTATGATGCACTAAATTTAATAGCCACCATGTGTTTCCAATGTGATTCAGCAATTGCTGGGAGGACGATCCTGGCGGATAAAGATGTTCCCATTCTGTCCAAAGCGCAAATGCCTCCTCCTAAACATTTGAAATGAAAAGAGAGAATATATGAAAAGGATCAGACTTTAATCGAACAATAGGGTGGTTTAAGGCAATTTTTGATTCTAATATGTAAATCGCCTTACCTTCCATGTCTTGAACGATACTTCTTCAATAATAGTTGGCTGAACAATCTCTTTACCAGGGAATACGCCCCATGTAACAGCAGACGGCGAATCCTCTTTGACATTTGTTCGAAATTCACCCTATGTAAGCACCGAGTAAATTTAGCATCCGTGTTCTATTTAAGATTTTGTTCTCAAAACATAATATATCTTCCGTCTGATTTCTGTTCACATACCCTACGATTAGCGGCATAATAAGTAATCCATGGACTTTCCCCAGCTTTCTCTAGAATTTTTTCCAACATCTCCTCGCTCACAAAGCATTCCACAAAAGCTTTCTGATAGACATATCCCCCTCTTGGACCCCATCCAAATACCGGATCATCACTTCTTGCTCCATTCACTGCAGGCTGTGACGAAATTGTCCAGAAGCCAAGTTGATTGAGTTGAAGAAGTTTGACGCGTATAGCATCCGTTTCGGCAATTAAAGGCTCTTCAGACCAAGGTAAAAGTGGAGTGTTGCCAGAAATATAGGATATGAAGAGCTGCGTTATGTCCGCAATTGTGGTTGGGTGGTTCCAGTATGTTAAGGCATTCGGAACCTTGAGGTAAGAAAGTGCAGGTGTAGAAAATAACGTCATGAGAATGTATACAGTCCAACGATAAAATACCTAAAGCTATATAAGAAATTTATAGCAACGGAACGCTACCGGAAGTATGTCACTTACAGGAATTTTTACGGTCCCACCATATCCGTCAACCTCACCAAAAGCTTCAAACAATAACCGATATTTGGTTATCTTTTCGTTACTTCATTGAATACGAGTATCAAAAAGTCTTACCAGGCGATTGTGAACTTCCAAACCGACCGTTTGGGAAATTATCCCAATCCTCGGCTCTTCCGACATAGTCTACACCTTGATTTTTCCATATTAACGGCTTAGCTACCGGAACACTTCCATCTAGTTCCTGCGAAAGCAATAACGTAAATACAGAATGAAAATGGGAATGATTAAACACCGTTATTTTAATATCAAATTCTTTTACCTCTTTTATAATCCCGTTACCATGTAGAAAAGTGCTAGATCTTCTTCGATTGTTAGGTGCTCGAATTCTTTGTTCTTCCGTCAGTACCAAACCCAACTTTTCCAGAATCAGTCTAACGGATTTCTCAAGATTCAGCGTACATAAATGAAACCCGCATATATTGTAATTCTGACGTAGCGTCGAAATCATTGTAAAAGCCAATTGCACTCCGTAGTCTTTAACTGCCTGGTCATCGTGCTTTAGTGAGAATTTGAAAGACAGTAAGTAATTTTATAAAGGGAGAAATATTGACGAAATACAGGAAAGCATGCATATATGCTAGTACAGAATAAGAGGTAACAGTTTAAGATGAGGATATGGCTAGAAAACCAAAAATGTTATCAAACCTAGCCTCTTCAGATAACTACCTTAATTGGTTCCAATGCATTCAAGATGCTTGACGGTACGCATACTTTACACAGGTTAATTATTCGCCTAAAACTATTGTACCCTTGTATTGGCATGATTCCTGGTATGATCGGTACAGTTATTCCTGAAAGGACATTTTTTTTTTACGTCAGCATATGGTATACATGTCCACTTACTCTGCAAAGAAAGGCAGAGCTCTACTAACCGATCTTTCTGCATTCCTTCTCCCATTCAACAAAGATATCAACGTCAAAAAACATCTGCGTTATTATAAAGTCAGCTCCAGCGTCAACCTTTTCTTTGAGAAATCTCAAGTCCTGCTGTTTGTTATCTGAATCTGGGTATCCCTCAGGGTATCCTGCATACCACAACAAGATATATTAGTCAAGTCACTGGATTACTCCCACCTCTAATTCAAACTTACCAGCAACTCCGATACAAAAATAGTCGCCATATTCTCGTCTTATAAATTTCACTAAATCGAGTGCGTAATTAAATTCACTATCGCACGATGACCAAAACTCTTGTCCACGTGGAGGATCTTTGGAAGTGTGCGAATGAAAGAGGGGGATGTGACAGACGATAATTAAACGGAATGTTGTATTATTAGCTCAACGGTAATAGTGACCATAGACAGTGACGAAAGCTAATCAGATAATGTTACCTCCGCGTAGAGCCAATATGTTTTGAATTCCGTTGTCTTTTGCATCCTACGAGACATAAGTTATGAAATCATGATTAGAGATTCAACACACTGTAGTCAGGACGTTTTTCATTCTGTAAATCCATTTGCAATTATCAAAATATCTCGATCGTTCATTCATCAGTTTCTCATTATCCAATTTAATATACTAACATTCAGGGCTCCCTTGATAATATCCCTGTTAACATTAGTACATGTCAAGTGCATACACGTCTCAAGTCCGAATCCACTTTGAGAAATGGCACACATTTCGCTTGTTCGTTCGACTGTGCTCCCACCTGCCCCCCAAGTGAACGAGGCAAATAGAGGGTTCAGGTAGGACATACGCTTCAGTCTATCATATAAATTCGCTAGTCCCTATGGAAAGAGAAACAGAAGGTTGGACATTATGAGAAAGCATGGGAATATAGGATCAAGACAGTGATTACCTCTTCGGTTTTTGGAGGAAAGTATTCAAATGAATAAAACGGTTGACCAGACGGTAGATTTACTAGCTTGTCGATTATTTTCATTATAATATTTTGTGGATATAAAATTAAGTAGACATACTATCCACATTGATCATTAAGAGCGAAGAGGGCGTCGCGACCATCACGTGGACAAGGGAACGAGATTAACGTTACTAAATACCAAAAAGGGAAAAAAAGACCTTGTTTGTTACTGCAAATACCTGCATTAGCCAATTTCGGGCTGGCTAACGCTACCTGCCTTTTTACTTTTAAGCAAAGCTCTCAACATTTGGTGGATACAGAGTTTTGGGTATTGAATTATTTAAAAAGGCTTTGCGAACTACCAACAAAATGCTTAATCTCAAGTGACTTGGATCCCACCCTTTTTTAATGCTGCAAGCATGCTTTCAAACGTAAGGGCATATTTATTACCACCAACAATCATAGGATCCGTAAAACGCGGGCCTTTACTTTCACTTTCCTTTTGAGCATAATTGCATCTCATTGTACAAGTAATTCTGGTTCGCATGCAACAACGAAAAGAGGCTCAAATGAGCCAAGTTTTCAATCTTATGATCTACTAAAGTTCAGCCTACTGGAAAGAGGTTTGTTGGCCACTCATTCGAAAACGGTTATTTGTATCGTGTTTAGGAATCAGATTTTATTGTTGAATTAGTAACTTCGTTCTATTACTGTTTTGTACCAAAATAGTTTTTTTTTCTACTATTGAAATCGACATCTGAAGATATTCTAACACAAGGTGTTACTGTGAAACCTTCAGGAACGGTTTTTTACATATTAGGGTGCTCCCATATTTGGTAACGTTTCGAGTTACTTGTATTAAATCCTACTTCCGAAATAATAACTTTCATCAATGAGGTCATTGATGCTGGGATCCCACATATGTCCCTGGACGTATTTAACCAAACTATGCCACCTGGGCCCTTTCAAGTTCTTCAGTTCATTAAGATGTCCTCTACATAATTTTAATGCCTCGGGATCCCGCGCAAAGCCCTCCCGTACAGCTTCTACAATAACAGCAGCAGCAATTTCAGCAGATACAGCGCGAATGCGTGTTATAGACGGATATAGTAGTTCTTGAGCCCTTTCTTCATCGGTGAGAGAGCGAGCAAGAGCGGAAGAGGCAGCAAAGATCTGACGATCAGTGATTATAGGTGGACGAGCGAGAATTGCACCAAGACCGAGTCCGGGACTAGAAAAGAACGGTAACAATTAAGTTAGGACTCGTCGTAAGAAACTGAAACCAGGTACAATTGTAACTTTTGAGGTGATGCGTTTACTCATACTTACAATATATACATATTGTTTCCTTGCCCTGGTACGTGAACTTTACCAGTTTGAGGTTCTGTGTATCGAGGGAAACCAGTGCCTGAAGCAAAAATAACTCTATTGTTCGAGTGTATCATTGCCTAAATATGTAAAGTGTTAGTAAGTAATTGTAG